TGATTTATATAACCATTATTTATAATATTCACGTTCTTATTTAACTTTATATTTTTCATTAACTCTTTTTTTTTTCCTTATTAGACGACTCCCAGCAAAAATTTCATTCTGTATAAATTCAGTTTTCCATTTCAGCAATGGTCTTTTTTTTAAAAAAAAACTTGGATATCAAAATTAACAGTCCCATCCCAAAGTGCCGCCGTTTTAGCAAAGGTGTCTGCCCCCCTTTCATTTCCTGCAATATATATAACATGCAAAATATCTGTTAATCTGTTGTTGCCAGTATCACTAAGGCTTCTGATCATAATCAGCAGACGTAATAGTAAAGTCTTCGGGGAAGCCAAAAATTATGCATGGCTTTGAAACTCTGCGGTCTGCTGGTGCCCTAAACTCCGATGGAATTCAGTGTTTGCTGTATTTCATTATTTGCTTATTTCCATTTTATTTTCCTCGAGAAATTGTGATGTTAAGGAAAATAATATATGTTTCAAAATCTTTTACGGTTTTCCCTTTCATAACACACATTTTAATTTTAAAACCAGAGAATTACTGAGAAAATGATTGTAACTGCGCTTTACCCTGTCTGTAAGGTAGAATCTATCAATCGACAGGTACGGTTTCGTAATTCATCCAACGTTTCCTGGAGGATAAAATAGCCACTCCAACTGCTGTTTGCTTTCACACACGGATGGCTCAACCTTTATTCTTTGAAAATTTTTTACTGATATTCCTTTGTCAACAAAAGTGGCGTGATTTTAATAAGCAACCGCGTAGGCCTTGACTTGAAAGAAAAACACGTTCTAGAGGGAAAACTGTGTTGAATAGGTAAATGGAGTAGTCATGCAACCTGTGGCAGCAAAGGGTATTCATGTTTTAGATCCTGTTGAGTACAGTATAGAAATTTCTACTGTTCAAAGTTATTATTTAACGTAATACGTTTTCGAATTTCCGCGTCTTTTTAGCATGTGTGAACCGGTGAGTAATACTTTTCCATTTCTTTTTCACTACTTGTCGAACTGGTGAAAGTCGATAATGGGTTTTAAATAATTAAAAAAGGGAGCATTTTTGGCATTTGTATTGACTTAAAGTTGAAGCAATTTCAAAGTATTTCGATTCCAACTCAAATCGAAGGGAGAGCTTTCTAAATGTAACTCTGTTGGACACTTCATCGTTCCTTTATTATAAATTTATTAATTTTTTAGTCTGAAAGTTTATCGTTGTCATTGCACCGTTTAATTCAGTAGTCTCAAACGGATATTTCATGCGGAATGCACAATGGCTGAGAAGCCGAAAAGTTTTTTGACAAAACAAATTTTGTAATTAAATTAAAAATTTTATTTGCTGATATCTGCACATAAGTGGTGGTAATAATAATAACGCGAAAGGAACCATTCCAAATTATATTAATTTTCTGATTGAAATTTTATTTCTAAGAAATTTCCGTTCGTTACACTTCGTAATCAAACACATTTGGAACCAAATATTAAATTTTCGCTCTGACATTTATTTCAATCAATACAAATATGTTAAATTAACCATTAAATAAACTTACTTTAAAATAAAAATAAAATAAATTACGAAAACATTTCAAGTGAGACAAAACTCAAGAATAAATAATGAGAGCCTGTTCTTTCTTTTATTTATTAAATTTTTTCGGTATTGTTCGGTATAGTAATTTTTTTCGGTATTGTGTCGGGATTGGATCCAGAAACGTATGTATGTGTGGCCGTGTGTATGTATGTGCATAATACATGCATACATGAACACACACATCTATACATTCATGCATACATTTCTGAATCCGATCCTGATAACAGAAAAGTACCAATTTTTGTTTGACGCATGCCAAAAAAAAATGCATCTATACCTTTTCGATTTTAGTAAGGTTTATGACCTCGGGAGGAAAATTACCAAAAACTATATCACGTCTTAAATGCTTATCGATCATCCTTCCCTTCCCCCTTGCCCCTCCTTTTTTTAAAGACTTGCTGATTTTTAGCTGGGGGGGGAAAGAATTGTTTACACTGTAATGTATTCTCAAACAAAGCTATTAGTATTTTATCTTTTGGTAAGTACGAAAAAATAAGATTAAATTAGTGTAATATAAGAAGAATACGATTTGAATTAGTGTAAATTAATTAGCTACATTAGTAGATTTTTGGGCCATTACTCACGTTCATCTTAAGTGGTACGGAAAATAATGTAAAACTGGATTTAGTCTTTAAAATCTTAGAACTTTCATCAGTTTGTTTGCCATAATAAATAATGTCATAATAATGCTAATTACCGGGAAATGCATTCGGGGGCCGCCATTTTGAGAGCACTGATTTCAACTGATATCGCGTGTCTTTAAGATCTTGCATATAAAGTGTAAAGATCGTGAATTATAAATAAAGGAAACAGAGTTATGCTTTTCCGGAATGGCAACATCAGAATAAAAACATGTTCTAAGATCTGACTAAAGTTATGTATGACTAAAGTTACGTATTTATCCTGAATTATAAATAAAGGACACATTTAAAACAGTGTAAATTGACGTGGTTTTTGAATAAAGAATTTATGCCGTTTTCTTTGTGGAACTTTTTTCGTAGATATATAGGCTGTTGTATTTTGTATTACTTTTATTATAACAGCATTATTTTCTGCTTAACGTTACTTGTCTTATTAAGTATTTGCCTACTTTTCATACTTTTCTCAGATAGCTTTAGTTTTTAATAGTTTGTGATACTGCTTTTATATTTCCTGTGTTTGGCATTCGCTAGTGTGTATTTTTGTGGTGCTCTGAATTTGTTTAATCTCTATTGCTCTGTTTATTGAAATTTCACTCGTCTTCCAAGTAGATCAGCCATTGTTCCTTACCAACCTCCTACATACCTGATAACAAACACTCGAGCTGGTATTCCAAGGATATTTTTGGGTTGGCTGATGCTTCTTTATCTAATCCCCCGCTATTAATAAAAGTCGGACTTTTTTTTATTCCCGGCATATTATGTATACGACGCACTTCTTTCTTATTCCAGAGGGCATAAAGAAATGAAAATGGCCCATCCGCATTAGAATACCGGAATTCGATAAGAAATATTGACTAAAGTATTTTTTTTTTTACTGATGACTATTATATAAGTATTTACTTAGAGAAGTTGTATTTACAGTGCGTATTTAGCATCTACCGCAGTATATATTTTTGTTATTTGTCTAATTCTAATGAAATCACTTAGTGTAAATTAATTAGCTACATTTGTAGATTTTTGGGGCATTACTCACGTTCGTCTTAAGTGGTACGGAAAATAATGTAAAACTGGATTCAGTAGTTAAAATCTTAGAACTTTCATCAATTTGTTTGCCATAATAAATAATGTCATAATAATGCTAATTACCGGAAATGCATTCGGAAATTTTCTGTTTGGGATGTGAATGTCTTTTTTCACGCGTGAAGTCTTCTGATGTTACATTACTTGTAAAATAATATCAGTTCATTAAAGTTGTTTATTTTCATTGACAACGGCATCTGCGATGAAATTACTAATGTTATTAACTCTTTCGTCTTTGTCTTACTTTGCGGCTAAAAAGTGAACAATGCAGCTGTAGCTAATTTCTTAAGTTCTCATATTTGATTTAGAAAATGGAATTAAAGTATTTTAACGTCATTGGGAAAATGACTAATTGTTCTGTCTTATAATATACGGATTTAATAATTTTGTGCATATTTTAGGCTCAGAAAATTTTAGCCGAGAGCGTTCTATCTTGATATTTTGCGAGCTAGCTGACAAATTAGCGAAGTTTAACATAGGCAAGACTCTTGTGTTAATCAATTGGGAAGATAGGAATATATTATGAACTCTATGCTGAGTAATACGTGGAATTTAATAACTTAAATGATAATTTCAGAATGGATTAAGCATAATTTAATTCACCGTAATAAAAGAAGACATTAGGTATACAACATCAAAGCGAACTCCTTTTTGTTTATATATTTTCTTGTTGCCAATCTAGAGAAACTAAACTTCGCAACTAAAAAGATAATATTATACGTAGATGGCGCTGCTACAAATGTAGTAATAAACAACGTAAAATTATATTTTATTCTCTTATATAACTCGAGCTTTAATTTTATCGCAGCGGGGAAGCGAAGATGTCGGGGTTAAATAGCTTAAATTCGCGAAACGTTCCACTTTTGCAGTCTAGTAGAAACCAAGCAGTAATAAAAGTAGCTAGTATTTAGCTAAATAAATATATCTTTTTGAACTGAAACATTGAAACTTAACATTTATGAACCAATTTATATTCTGAAATCTTATTCGGTGTCGTTGTATTAGATTAAGTTACAATTTAAGCATGAGATGTTTTAATACATTCATTATATTCTGAGCGTGCCGATTTTGTTTATATCGTTTTGTGTGTTACCTTTATTTATTAAATTCTATGTTCTTTTTGTTTAAACGACATAAAATTCAATTCAACAAGCAATATCACAAAATATTCAAAAACAGAATATTTTTAGACTTTCCGAAAGACAGTCAGTCTTGAGCTTTGTGGATTAAATTCCCCCTTTCCCGTACAGTATTCGCTTTGAAACCGTTAAATTTGTTGATCAAAATTCGTTAAAGTTTTACCAAATATGAAATAGATAATAAAAGAAATTCAAAATTCGGGCTTCCAGGTGCCCATATTCGAATGGACTACGTTATTCAAAATTGAATGGCTTTAGGTACTGTCGTTTTTTCACAATCCGAGAACTATACATGCATATTCTTCATTATTTAATTTTTTAAATATAATACAAGGGTGATAATACTTGGTGGCAACAAATAAAAAAGTAATACGTCGTCAACAAATTAAAAGTTATACGGTGTTTATAGTGAACCGACGCAAAATGCAGTTTCAGGACTAATAGCCCTTCTAGGATAACGCTCCTTTGGGTTAAAAAAAAAAAAAATCTGAAATGTTTCAGATTTTAAATTACGTCCAAGGGGCGTTTTAACATTTGTGTGTTACCTTTCTTATTAAATATCAGTTCCTCGCACTTAAACCATAAGATCCAGTGCAACAGCAATATCGCAAAATAGTTTAAAACGAGCATATCTTAGAATTTCGATACAGAGACTCACGCGCTGGAGATAAAAATGTTTTTTCTGCAACGTTGCCATTGCTCGCTTTGAAATCCTTGATTGTTAATCAAAAATTCGAAATTTAAAAAAATAAAATGGATCATAAACAAATTTCAAAAATTTCAAATTTTTTCCACATGCTCATATTCGTTGAGGATACGTTATTCAAATTCGATGACTCTATGTACCGTTGTTTTATCACAATACGAGAAATATACAACATTTATGCAGATTTTTCATTATAATTTTCTTCAAAATATAATGCAGGCCTAACATTTGTGCAACAGTTGAAAAGTGAACGACATTTATGGTCCGACGCAAATGCCAAACGAAACTAATAGTCCTTCGGGATTCAAATCCCTTTGGACTAAAAAAAAAGAGGCAGCACCTAAATTTTTTATTTATTATCTGTCCGCTAAATTTTATGTAATATGGTAAAAGTCACTATCATAAATTAAGCTTAGAAATTCGCCGCGATAAAATTGCTAATTTAGATATGTGTGTATTCATCTGTAAATATATAACCAAATACCCCTGATCAACTTAAGGGTTATACCTATGGTATATTAAATGAAATTGCAGAAATTGTTTTCTCTGTTTATTTCGGTATTTAATGAGCGCTTGAATTCGGAATTTTCAAGAATTATTCTCTTAAATATGGCTATGCATTATAGATGTTTCTTAGCTACTAGCTTAGTTTTGTCAAGACTAACAAGTAGCAATATTCTGAATAGTAATGTTTAACCAATATATGTATTTGCAAATATTAGTTAATGGTGCTTTTCCCGTCGACATAAAAAATTGGCGGAAGTGTTGGCAAACTCACGCCAGCTATTCTGACGAAAATTTGAAAAGAAACTGATCGCTATTTATATAGTTAGATAATCGTAGATCGCATTTAATTGAGTTAATCTATAAATACAAATTATAGCCTATAAATACGAATTATAGCATATAAAAACTTACAAGTATCTACCAAACAAATTCAATAAAGCGATTTCGGCGGTAAGAACCCTTAATAGCTATTTTCTTTGAGAAATCGGCGTCGCATAATTCGTTTAAATTCGATTAAGTGATATCGCATGATTGCCACGATAATAACCAGGCCCACCCGGTTACTTTGAAAATATTCCACTGCTGCCCCACTAGAAGGTAGATACGAAACGTAATCATTCCGCCTCCTCCCTCCAAATACAAGCGAAAAACAGAAAAAAATAGCGGGTAGCTTTTATCCTCTTGTGACTTAAAAACTGAACTAGCTGGTTGAGGATTAGGGTTTCGGAAAAGCAAAGCGATGATATTATGAGTGTATTATAACATAGCGCTCCTCCATTATTGGCGTTAAATCGCGCTGCTTGGCGACAAGCTTTATTTAGCGAGGAAATGGTCGACGGGAAAACACATAAGTACTATGCAGAAATTTTTGGTAAAATGACCTGTGACATCTTGCCTGGTAAAATGCAACTATTTCAAGGCAAAAGTTGTTAGGGTATAATTTTTCTCAAAATAAACTTATACCCTGGATTCTTTTTTCATTTAAAATACAAAGATTATAGATTGTGTAAAAGACTAAAATATAAATTAAATAACTAATGTTTTTAAAAAGCATTTTTTAGTTTCACTTAACTCTGATGAATCTTGTGTGACAGTGTGCTAATTTGGTACACTTTTCTTTAAAAAAATACTGCACCAAACTTCCATTTAAGAATAATAAGCAGTATTTTACATTTCACTTTAAAAGAAACTATTAAAAATAGTAAAATATTTTGAAAATTTCAAAAAAAGTAGTATTAAAATTTTAATATATCCAGTACTAACAGTTGTAAATTTTATATCCCATCTAGCTCCAAAGAAAAGTATAAGATAAACAACTGTGGAAAATTTAAGCCTTCCAGTTTGAAGAGTTTTAAAGAAATGTTTTGAGAAAAACTTGGAAAAAAATTAAACACTAATAATTTATTAAAAAAAATCATTTAAATATTTTCTTGCACAATAATCATCTTGAATTGACATTTCTACATCAAGTTGTTTTTGTTTTATTAATTTATTATCCATTCTGGCCATTATAGAAAGCTTTTGATAAGTGAGATAGGCCTCATTAATTCTATCACAATCTATTTTTTGCAAAAACCTTATAAAATCCTGGTTTATTCCTAATAGTTCCATTACTTTGCTGTGGCTTTTTATACCATCACTAAAACATATTACAGTATCTAACAAACCTAATTTTAATGTGATGATACTCACAAAAATAATTTTTGGTTATGCATGGCCAGACACAATTATTAAAACTTTCATTTGGTTTTAAGTTCTTCCATAAAAGCACTTTAAACAGCAGTTCCCTCCCCCTTCCCAGAGAGACTTCTAAACACACTTAACAGTTCACAAAATAAACTCTGACAAAGAATTGTTATGGATATAATTTTTTACCAGCTGATATGGCTTTATTGTAGCCACATAGACATCTGCCCCTTTTAAACTGGTGGGCATGCCAGTGCTTGTTTACACTTTTTAATAAAAGATTTTGATCTTTTAAAATTTCAAAACATGTATAAATTATCTATTTCTGGAATTATCTGTCTACTTTATTTTTTTAGCCAAAAGTTGAAAATTTTGATGTCATATGTCTCCTTAAAGGTTCCAAACCCTTTGAGCACCGCTTGCTCTTAATTCATCTTCAGATTTAGGCCCCACAAATATATATATATAATGTTAAAAATTTAAATAAGATTTACAAAGGAAAAATTAATACATTATTGAATTATATGTTATTAAATTAATGTATACATATGAATAATGAAAAAGTCATAAAAATGGGATCAATTACTTAGCCTCAAAAATGCTAAATGCATCAAAAGCTGAATAATTTTTTCATATGTATTATTAAAAATATTTTCTATGTAATCTCAGAACTTATAATTTGTTGACTAAGAGAATTTTTCTTCACTTTGTCAATGGATTTTCTTTTTAGGTTAAACAATTCTTATTTTGTGTATATAAAATATGACACAGCAGGCAAAGTTTTAACTGTTTTTGTCATTTTGTATGATTTGTTAGATTTAATTTAGAGGAAAAGTATGTGGTTGCTCAGTTTGTAATTTGATCATCTTCTTTTTCATTAGAAACTCCAATGGATGACTACCTTCACTACGTAGGAGGTACGGTTGGAATTGCAGCATTAACAGGAGCCGCTGCAGCTGCTGCACTTTACATGGCTTGCTCACCAACTCCAATAGCACCTCCAGTGGACATCGAGAACCAGTCGGCTGAAGTTCCTGTAAGTCATTACAATTAGAAATTTAACAAATAATTCAGTTGCATAGAGGAATTTATATAATAGGAACAGGAAAATATTTTATTTAAAATAATTTCTAATTTAAATAAAATGTTAAGTATATAGCTCTATATTTTGATAAGAATGAATAATATGCTGAACAAAGAAAACATCTAGTAATGGAAAAACTTTGATAATAATAAAGAAATCTGATAGTTGGGATGAATTGGTGCTTGAATTATGGGTGTTGGACAGTTTTTAACAGCTGAAGTAATTTTTATTTATTTTTTTCATATTGTTAATATGTATTCTTAATGCCATGAGAGTTAATGGTTTGTTACATTTTCATGTGAATTACTCTTTAATTTAACAAATATATGCCTTTTCTTAAGCTCTTATATCTTCTTTATGACTTCAATAATGTAATATATAGAAACAAAAAGTAAGACATTTAGAACCAAAATCACAAATGAATAAAGAATGAAATTTATATGTAATAAATACATAATGAAAGAAATGAAATTTAAAACCAGTAAAATCATTGAATCTCCCAATTAAAAATAAGTAAGATTTTTCAGATGAACTATTATAATTAGATAATCTAGAATGTTACATCAGCTATTTTTTGATTAACAGAAATGCAGTGTATTTCCTAGGAAGTGGGATTCAATTGAATCTTATCTACCTCCTCTTGATAATGTTGAATCAGATTTTAATTCTGTTCCTTTTATATGTATTTTTATGTATTTCTGTTGTTTTCGGGATTTCTTGTGGCTTAAAAGCATTCGAGTTCCCCCCCCTCGAATGTGATGCGATTAATGGGAAAAACTTTGATAAAGAAAAGTATGATAGTTGGGATGAAGTAGTCCTTAAATTATGTATGTTGGGCAGTTTTCAACAGTTTAAGTAAATTTTATGTTTTTCAAATTGTTAACACTTTACTGACCGCTAGCAGTTCAACAGCATACCCATGTCCTTCTGGCCGCTCAGCCGCAGATTCTCCCTGTTCTGAATAACTGTCAGGTCAATCTGATAAATTGTCTAAATAAAACTCTCCAGTATCATTTTTCTCGCTCATAGTGAACAGTAAATTTTTAAAAACGGTGTGAAAATGTGGGAGTTTATGAAGCAACGCACTTAACGCAAGTGAGCAATGTACCTCAATACTAATAATAAAATGCAGATGATATAGCAAATGGCAATTGTTTATCACCATGGCTACCGATTGATAGGCTAGTTTTAGGTAGCCTGCAGAAAAAAAAAACGATTAATAGGCCATTGGTCAGTAGGCATTGGCGATAAAAAGCCAATTAATAGGTTGTCAGTCAGTAGGCGTTGGTGATAAAAAAAACGATTAATAGGCGATCAGTCAGTAAAGTGTTAATATGTATTCTTGAAGCTGTGAGAGATGGTGGTTTATTTTTATTTGAATTAATCTTTAATTTAAGAAATATACACCCTTTCTTAAGTTCTCATGTCTTTTTTATGATTTTAGATTAAGTAATATATATATTTACGGTTAATAACAATGGCTATCTTTTTAGTACTTTAAATTTTACATTTTAATTTTTAGAAGTTATCCAGTTTAAAATAATATTTCTATACAGCTTACTAAAATATTTTTACTACAATATAAACCTAAATTATTTATACTTAAAATACTGACTCAATTCCAATAATCCATTGCATTAGTTAAATTTATATTCCTTGGAGATGAAATATAAAAACATTTTTCTAATAATATATATATATATACAGAGAGAGGAGAGACAGACAGAAAGTAAGACATTTAGAACCCAAATCACAAATGAATAAAGAATGAAATTTATACATAATGAAAGAAATGAATTTATAACCAGTAAAATCCCTAAATCTCCCAATAAAAAGTTTAAGAATTTTTGAGTGAACTATTGTAATTAAATAATTTAGAATGGTTCATCAGCTAATTTTGGGAAACAGTGGTTCCTAGGAAGTGGGATTTAATTGAATCTGATCTAACTCATCTTGATAACCTTGAATCAGATTTTAATTGTATTTCTTTTATATGTATTTTTATGTACTTCTGTTTTTTTGGAGGGGATTCTTTAGTGGGAGATTAAGGAATTTTTACTGGTTTTAAATTTCATCTCTTTGTAGTTTATGTTATAATTTCTTATCATACATATTCTATTAAGTGGACAGTAAGGTGAACATAAATGAAGGGTTATCTTACATCAATTTAGATGCTTTCTAAATATATTTTTATGCATTGATTCTATTGCCATCTTGTCAACTTTACTCTGCCTCCCTTTGCTCGCTAATGACTTAGATGGATAAAATGCCTCGTCTTTTATTCATTCCTGTACGATCAATCAGGAATTCTTTAATTTTCTCAGAATCCCTAAGGCTTTTTCTGAGGTGACTAGAAAAAATTATCTACATATAGTGGAATGCCAGTGCAATAGAAAAGTGAGTATTTGGCAGTACTCAATACCTCTCTGATCTGTAGCAAACTGCTGGAAACATCTGGTCGAGGTAAAGGGGGTGCACAAAAGCATCTTGGTGTTGTAAGAGATAAATATCCAGGATACTGCTATCACCAAACTCATTTTATAAAATTAAAACAGTGCTACCTGTCTACAAAGATTCTTACAGAAATAATCAAAATTTCATATCATTAACTACATGTCAAACAGTAAGGATCCTTTTATTTATATTCAACAATAATTTATTCAAAAATATACTATGGTCTTAAATTGATCTTTACGATTAGGACACTGGTGGTGCACGGCAATCGAGACTTGCCCCTCCTGGTGGAATGACAAGCTTTCTTTATGATGATGCTAAGACATTGCTAGAAATGATGGAAAGGGGTTGCAGAATATCTGGTAAGGCAGTATTTCTGATTATTATTGTGCGTATCCTTTCAGCACTTTCTTTGCTAGTTATTCATTCAGTAAATTATAGATTGAAAATTATGTGTGGGTATTTAATACAATTTGTTACATAGAAGTAATTGTGGTAGATAACAATTCACATAGAAGTGAAGTAATTGGAATAATTACAATTTACATAGAATTAAAAGAAAAAAAATGGGTACTCTTCCGTTTCGCCGGCGCAAATCTCGCCAAGCAGACTACATAGAGACAACATAGAGTATACACATAAAAAATATTTAAAAAAATGTTAGTTCTAAGAATTTTTTTTTAAAAAGAGGGCAGAAACATCTTTAATATCGTTTAAAATTTTGTAAAAAGTCAATAACGAAAGACAATACATTTTTAATAAGACATTAATTTAAGAATTTACTATGCTTTCATGGTTCAACATCCCGATTTGCCGGTTTATATCACGTGACCCCAAGCGATCTCATCTCACGTTAAGCTACTCTACAAAAATCTAATGCTCTCAGTAATTATCTACATTAATTTTAAGTTAAATCTTAATTTCTAACACAAGTTTAAATGCAAGAATTATTTCAATTCGTACGAATAGCTTACTCAGAAATTATGCAAAACTGTAGTGCTTTACTTCGCTAATGCATTCTCATTAGAATGGATGAATTTAACCCTTGACTTTACCTTTTCTTCTATATTTTCAGCTTCAGGTAAGCGCTGTGATTGCATCCTAATTGTCTTAATTACCAAAAAAGGCATTAGATATGAAACTGAACTATCTGATAAAAATTCTATGTAATTATATGCCAGTATTGAAAAAAACAATCAATCTGATAAGAAAAAGCTGCGACTTGTTTTGAAAATGAGGCGTAAAAGGTTACCAGCGAGAATATTCCGTTTGGCATCGGTTGTACCATTATTGGCGACTTTATCGCTTGCGCCGGCAAAACGGGAAAAGTACCAAAAAATGTTTTAAATTAATCATGGTGGTAATGTGAGATTTTGATATATGTTTTTGTCCTGAAAATTATAAAAGAAAAAAGTAGAAAAGTAGAATCTAGGTTTATTGGTATTAATTTTAATTTCAAATAAATTAACATTAGGTCAGCAAAACATAGTTATGAGAAGAAAATTTGGATTTCTTATTCGAGCAGAACTGCAATTGATATTTACTATTATGAATAATTAACAAATTAATAGCAAATTATTATATAAAAAAATTAAGAGTATATGTAGTAAGAATTGTAACCAATGCAAATTGCATTTTTCTTTGAAAATTATGCATTAATTTTTTTTAGCCTTGTTAGAACAGTAGTAATTTTTCATTACAATTTTTAGCATCAATTATGATCATAATTGATAAATGTTATCCACCCTTTCATGCTGATGACAGTTTTAATTTTAAGAAGAAATATAGTGAGATCACTTATGGCAGCCAACTTTAAAAATTACCAACATTTCTGAGAATATAAATAAATATGTCTTTGACAATTATATAATACTCTGTTAATCATTATTTAAATTTGACCTGAATTATAAAGAACTATATGATCAAACACTTTTAATGAGAAATTACGATTTGCTGTTTTAATAATAAAAATTAAGAAAATTTTTTAAATCCTTTTTATCGAAAGTAGCAATTCTTGTAAGTTCTACAAATACTGAAAATTTCAATAAAGGAGTAAAGATTAAATTTTTTATAGCAAATACACTAGTTATCATAAATTAAGGAAAAATCACAAAAATCACGATTACTGAAAAAGTTACATGTAGACTTTAACGAAACGTACCCACAATATACAACACATAGTAAGGTACCAAATAACATAAAAAGAAATTACCAGACAAATATGGTAGTATAGAAATTAGCACATGTATAAAATGAACAAATCGAAGGTGTCAGTTTGCTATAGGAAAAGTACCTTCAATATGGAATATGATCACCTCTAGAAGCAATACAGCACATACAGCAATGTGTGATGCTTTCAATTATGTGGTCTATCACTTCCATAAGAAGCGAGAGCCATTGCTCTTGCAAAGCAGTTGCAAGCGTGACAAGGGTCTGAGGGGGCAGATTGAGAGCAGCTAGACATCTCCCTAAAGCACTCCAAATGTGCTCAATAGGATTCAAGTCTGTGAATCGAGCTGGCCACTCCATGCGCATAATTGTTTCCTGTTGAAGATAATCATGTACGATGCGAGCTCTTGCGTTGTCGTCCTGTAACTGGAAAGCATCACCTATTGCCCCGGCATATGGGCGCACATAAACATCAAGGATGTCATCTCTATAAATCTGAGTATTCACGGTTGCCCTTGGAAAGACATGGAGGTCTGTGCGTCCACCCAAAGAGATGCCACCCCAAACACAGACAGTGCCCCTTCCGTATGCATCTCTTTCACGGATGTTTGATGGATGAAAACAGGTTCTAGGTTCTCTCCATATTAAATAACGTCTACTATCGCGTTCTAGACTAAACCTGGACTCATCCGTAAAGAGAACCGCCCTCCATTGATCAGGCGTCCAGTGGACATGTTGTCGTCCCCTCTAAAAACGGTCCCTCCTATGGCGTGATGTGAGCGGCACACAAATGGCTGGTCGCCTTGCATACAGACCACCTTTGTGAAGCCTTCTGCACACAGTTGATGTTGACATGAACCTTCCGGTGGCAAGGGAGGATCTAAGAAGAGTCGGAGTAGTGGTTCTATTCCTGCGTGCACATAATGTCAAATATCGGTCATCGGCGCTAGTCGTAGCAGTTGGCCGTCCTTGGATGAACCTCCTAGAGGCCGATCTGTGGTTTGAAATCGCCTCCAAAGTCTATGAACCACAGAAAGACTCACATTTAGCCACCTGGCCAGTTCTATTTGACTTTATCCTGCCTCTAGTCTCCAAATGGCTCTCCATCGTAGTTCTGCAGGCAAATGATGCCTGGAGGTCATTGTTGCGAATAGGCTATCTCAGATTTCTGATGTCACTATCACAGTGAAATATGTGGGCTTGCTCTCAAAGACTTTTATGCTCCTCGCAGATGACATATTCTGAGTGCAGCGCCACTAATTTGCATATTGCAGTTTTACTCAGCTACTCTTACTTGGCAACATATTCAAATTTTACACGGTTTGGCTTATTTTTGAGGGAGTTATCGCTATTTTTATGATTTTTCCATAATTTATAACCAGTGTATAATAAGCAAGAATTTTTTTAATTGGTTATTTGCTAAAAAATTCTGGATGAAGTTGCCAGCTGTATGACAAATTAAAAGTTACTTTTATAATTTTGTTTAGGAAATGGACCATGTTTAGGTTTCAGAGGTTCGAAACCAGAATATTCTTGGATAACATACAGAGAGGTAATTTGTTATTTTTTCTCTTCAATATTTGTAAGCTTTATAAAATTGTATAATTTTATGAAATAAAAGGAATGGTTATATTGAATTTTTATTCATATCCCCCCTGCTGTAATTTTATATTATTTTTCTTGTATTTTATGCTAGTTCAATCCATTTTTTAATGAAATAAAAGAAATCGTTATATTGAATTTTTATTTTTGAATCCCCCGTTGCTGTAATTTTATACTAGTTTACTTATACTTTCTTAATATTGTGCTAGCTCAATCTATTTCATTTATGAAAGCTAAAATAAGTTAGCATTTCTTGTTGAGAGTAAAGAAAATATATAAAATATGTTGAATCCTCTTTCCTAAATTTTATAAGTGAGTGAATTTGTAAGCCTTTTCATTATATTAGCCATAGAAGAAAAGGAGAATTAAAAGTTAATAATAAAGCTGGTTTCTTTCAGATAACATAATTGCAATTATGTATCCATTTATTATAATAGGGGACCAGAAAGTAATGTCACTTTCTTACATTAAATTCAAACGAATAAATTTTTAACAAGTTTTTATTTTTAATCAATAATGTAATCACCGTCGTTATCAATAACCTTTTGCCATCTAGTGTGCAGATTTTCAGTCCCTGGACTGATATAAACCAAGTGGTTTTTGAGTAAAATATCTCAAGATGGCATTTTGGACATCATTACAATTTTCAAATTTTTTGGCACTAAGAAAATGTTGTAGGGATCAGAATAAATGGAAATCCGAGTGTGCGATATCGGGTGAGTATGGTGTGTGATGCAGCACCTCCCATCCCAATTCAATCATTTTTTCCAGTGTCTGTCTTGCACACTGCGGTCTTGCATTGTTGTGTTGCAGAATGATGCCTTTTCTATTGACAATCACAGCATATTTTTCAATTAAAGATTGGTTCACTCGATCCAATTGTTCACAATAAAGATCTGCATTAACAGTTTGTCCAGGTTTCAGCAATATAAATGAACCATTTTGCGAATACTCCACCAAACACACAGAAGCGCCTTTTTGGAATGTAAACCCTTTGTAACCCCTATTAAAACTGCCTTTTGCGTTTTGCATCATAGTACCCATTTTTCGTCTCCAGTAATCAAATGATCAAAAAATGGTTCTGTATGGTGCCGTTGAAGCAATATGTTGCATGTGATGGATCGGTTGGCTTTGTTCTCTTCGGACAGATTATGGGGGACTCAAAAACCTGCTTTACTTATTTTTCCATTCTGCTTTAAATGTTCTTGGACGGTCGACCAAGGTTGGTTAAGTTTGACATGGATTTGCTTCCACTTCTGCCCTTAGCATGTTGTTGTCGACATGCACAGAAATGACATTACTTTCTGGTCCCTCTACTAAATGCCATTAACGTTGGTGAGATAAAAATTAAGACATTATTTATAATTTAATAATTCTGGAACTTAGTATCGCAATTTAAAGTCTATATGAGTGCATTTATGAACTATTGTCTCAGAGTTTGAACAAGGTTATTTTCACATGTTTCATGCATTTCAAATTTAATAAGAACTGTATGTAAGATATCTTCAGGTCATGGCAGGAATTCAAACCTACCCTAATCATGTATAGGCATTCCCTTACTGTCTGTATATATGCCTGTAGAAATTGTGGTTGTTTTCTATGTGTCTGCTTATTTATTAACTTTTTGTTTCTTTGTAGGTGATTGAGAGGGCAAACAATTTAGCCTCTGGTTTAATTCATATTGGCATGAAACCTGGCCAGTCTTCTTTTATTGGTATTTATGCTCAAAATTCTGTTGAGGTAAGATAATCATTTTGTTACCGAATGCCTTTTTAAGGTGCAAATTAATTAAATGTCCTTCTTTTTTATTGTAAACATTTAGTGGATGAAAATGTGAAATTGCTGGATATTTTTCAGTTTTGTAAAGTAAACTTTTTAAATAACATTTTTGCTTGTAAAAAAAATCTTAATGACTTTATTATTAAATGTGTGTTTTAGTGGATCTTAACAGAACAGGCCTGCTATAATCAATCTGCTGTGATAGTTCCTCTGTATGATACACTTGGACCAAATGCCTGCTCTTTCATTGTAAATCAAGGTATGTTCCTGAAAAGAAATTGAATATTTTTCACTCTTAAAAACAAATTTAAAGTTGCAAAATATCCCTTTAAAGACATTTTCTCATTTAGCTGTGATTTAATTTGTTCACTAAGTGCAAAGTGCTATTTTGGGATTAAAGAAGGTTTGTCTTGCACTTTCATAAAATTGTTGAAAATAGCTACAGAAATTTTTGAAATAATTATCTTCCTATGCATAGTCTGATTCATCATCTTATATAGTAATTGAATTTGCTATTGTAAAGTTAGTTTTCATTATATATATATTGTGGAAGGGCTAATTTTTAAGGACCATTTTAAAATAATTGCTAATCATTTAGGGTTCTGTATTTTTTATCAGATGCTGCATACGTTTAGCTGTGTTTCCACATTTGTTAGCAAAAGTTTTTTTTTTTTTTTTTTTTTAATGTATAAGTGTGTTGCCTGAGGATAACTATTCCTGAAGCATTATTATTTCACTTTGTTAGCTTGGAAACACTTGCAAGCAAGGTATCTTTCAGTTGTAAGATAGGTGGCAGACTTTCTTTGGCTGAACTGGATTGTATGGCAATATGATCCAGTTGCTGCTAGCCAAAAATTTGACTAAAGGTTACATTTAAGCAGGTCAGTATGAGACCTCACATTGTCATAAAACAACTAAATTTCAGTCGAAATCATACTTTGACATTTATTCTGGCTTTTGCGAGAAAAAGGGGGGGAAAAAAAAAAAGAAGCCAAACAGGATGTGGCAGCAATAATTGTTTCTCTTTGCAACATCAATTCCGTCAACAGAGCACCACATCTGTCCAGAACATGGTGGCATAATCTTGTGGTATAAAATTGTTTGGATTTCACTCTCTTCAAAGGTGGTGTGCATTGCATTTCAGTTCGCATGCAAGACAACCATATCTTGATTCCCATGGTGATGCAGAAAAATAGTTAATTGTCCTTCTCATAATATCAAATCAAAAATTTTAAAGTACTGACAAAATCTCTTTATGTTCCTTGCTGAGCATTCTTTAAATTTTTTCAAAAACACAACTTCCTATTGCAAGTTTTCCAGTGTTTTCCATTTTGTGAAGAAATAATAAAACTTTTAAGTTTTTTTTTAAATAATTCATAAAAAATGGCCAAAGCATAGATTTAAGTTTACTCTGAGTTAAGCAGAACACTTATTAGTATTTTAAAGAAGGGAATTGTATAATTCCACTATGCTGTTTTCGGGGGTGTTTTAATGTCAAAAGTATAAAAAATTCTAAATAAAGTAAAATTATTGTTTTTAGTTGCTGTATTGAAACATTTGTGTAATGTTCAATTATTATTTTCCTTAGCTGAAATAAAAATAGTTGTCTGTGATAAAGAAGAAAAGGTACAATCCCTCCTGGAACAGAGAGAACAAACACCAGGCCTAACACATATTATTGTGATGAATGATGTTTCTGAAGATGTGAAACAAACAGCAAAAGACAAAAATGTTAATTTGCACTATTTCCAAGAAATCGAAGTATGTTTTCCAAAGATGTGAAAGTGTATCTTTAAATTAAAAAACTGCTATTTAAAAAAGTGATTAATATGTCCATAGTTTTTTTAAATATCTTTGAATGAGTGTAATGCCCCCCCCCCACAAATGTTTTTCTGTGACAACTTACTAAAATGTTTTATTTTTTAAATGGTTTTCTGAAATATTAAAATGTGGATTTTTTTTGGGGGGGGGTTCATTTTATATAGAATTCTGTGTAATTAAGTTTACTTTGCAAATATTCCTGCATTTTTTAATTACTAATAATTAAAATAGAATAAATGAATGTATTCAGTTTTCTCAGTTCTTAAATGTAATATCTTTTATTGCAGGATCTTGGGAAACAAAAGCCTGTTGACATTGTTGTAAGTTATTTTCTATTAATAATACTATAAAAACTGTAATTTTTTTCATTAAATGGTCATCTCCTGTCTTAAGCAATTTAACGTATATTTTAGTTTTGATTATTATTTTTAATTTTTTCCATTTTGAACTATTTTTTATTTATTTAATTTTTTAAAAATTTCATCTGTATTTATAAATGTTTTGATGTTTTTAGTTATGAACTATTTGGAATCTCTTTAGCTGTTAAGTTATATTATAGAGGATGTGCTTAAAACATTCACGTAAAGCAAAATTTCACAAGCATTTTTAATTCACTGCACTGTGCTATCTGCCATCTGAATGTAATTTGTAGGTACTGACTGAAGATGCTGGCAGATTTTTATCTGCCTTATGAATGTAATTTGTAGGTACTGACTGAAGATGCTGGTAGATTTTTGGGTATTTATTGCATTTGCATAAAGTTTTTAATTAAAATTCATCACTCATCATTCAGTTAGTAGGAAAATGCGATAATGATTAGACTTCACAAAGCATTTATTTGAATAATCATGTGCTGATTTGTAGGAATTATGTATATATTCAAAAAGCAATCTACTTATCACATTTGCGGTCATGTTTTTAGAATATTAGATTGCTACCCTGTAATTTATTTTCCTTAGAAAAGAAAAATGAACTTGTGTTAGTATGATTCTTCTAAAGATGCATGACTGCAGGTCCAGCTGTAGGTATAGGCTGCTCATGGTGCTGATTTTTGAAGAGCATCATCTTAATTTTTCCACTAAATCGCATATAAATAAAGGTATATTTAGCTTTTAATTTAATATGTTTAATTTATATGTGATGCCGAAAGTGCTGGAGCTGAACCTGCATGTCTAATATTTGCATAATCAAGCGAAATGTCAAATATTTATTTCAAAAACATTAGGCAGGCAAATTTTTCTAACATGCTCTTATTGGCAGCTGGTTTTCCAGTGCCCACCTACTTTTACTCAGATGAGTAACACATCCCTAAATCTCTTTAGTACATTAGGCAATAATGCCAATGTTGTGAAACTATGACAGCAAAGTAGTGGTAATTTGTATGGATTAAAATTGTCAAAGTAGCATACAATTTCACTTGTAGTGCATGTTTTAAACAGTGCCTGACTTCCGAGTTCGGCAAAATTTATGTTTATTGTAATGACATTTTTTGGAGTTACTGGTTATATATTATTACACTGATTATATTTATGTTATAGCCACCAAATCCATCAGATATTGCAACAGTATGTTATACAAGTGGTACAACTGGAGATCCCAAAGGTGTTATGTTAACACATGCTAATATAATTATTGATGCTTCTGCTGTTATATTGCAATTAGTAAGTAAAACTTGTATATTTCTTAATAGTTTTTTAAAGATAATGCATTTTCAATTTATATTTTTATAGACTGTGTTTTTCTGTCTAAACAAATGTATTTTTTAAAACAAATATTTTTGCAGGGTGAATATGCACCTAACAAAGATGATACGATGATGTCATTTTTACCTCTTGCACATATGCTGGAAAGGCTTTGTGAGGTAAGCTCTTTCTGGGATTGAATTATGCATTGAAGAATATATTTAACACGTTGAGCACCACATGTATTTCTTAGGCAATCTCGTTCAGGCCACATGCGCCGCTTTAAAGCACTGGTATTGTAGGGCCAGTGATTCTTATCACAGTAGAAGAGGGTGTACGTTTGGAGCGAGATTCCTATAGGCATTCATTCAACACATTACGTATTTGTGTTTCAATGAAATCCATTAGTCCTGTAATGAATGGTTATCTCCATTCATTACAGGATTAAGTAAATTTTAAATAAATTTTCTGTAACAGCCAGCGGCGGTGGACGCGGTCTAAACGGAAAGTCTAGTGTCAGCCATAGATGGCTGATGTGGCGCTCAACGTGTGGATCTGTTTGCCACATATATTTATGTAAATGTTATTTTTACAAAACTTTTGCAGTTTCACATAATTCATTAATAAAAAAACTATGGATGATGTGGCGCTCAACGTGTGAATCTGTTTGCCACATATAGTTATGTAAACATTATTTTTACAAAACTTTTGCAGTTTCACATAATTCATTAATAAAGGATGCAAAATGTTTTATTTAGCCATAGATTTTTAAAACAATTTCCCTCCCAAAGCAATGAGTAGCAGTCAATTTTAGTTATACTGTGGTTTTACAATTAATTAAAAAATTGGCTTTTACTCCTTGTATTAAGTTTTCTGTTAGGCTTAAATTTTATGTTTGTTTTTGTAAATAGCATTTGTCAGTGTCTGTATCTTTACTTACATTCTTGAACAAATTGTTGAATGCTGTTGAGTATCATGCTTATTAATTTAGTCTGAAAGTGATCAGAAATATTAAACATTTTTATGAAATTATTTTAGCTGGACTCATTAAAATCATTATATACTTTACTTTTTTATCCTAACTATTTTAAGGGGCTGGCCATGTGAGCTGCTAGTTTTTAAAGAAATAGTATAGTAAATATAAAAACGTCTAAAGCTGTATTGGGAATTCTAAGGATATATATATATATATTTAATATTGTTGTTGTTGTTGAATTTTGTAGAGTATAAGTGCAAAAAGCATGATATTTGAAGGAAGAATGTGAGAATAAACAAAGGATCGTATATGCATTTGAATGCATGTGAATTGGAATCTTGTAGGTAATTTAGAGGTCAAAGTTCTGGTTGTCATTTTAGAGGAGGATTGTATTATGGCCTATTTTTCATGCAAATACTAATAATTAAAATGATTTAAATATGAAAACTAATCCAGTAAATATGTAATTAATTATAAAATGAGAGACAGTTGGCAAAATCTAAATTACATTGATTTATTTGATAGTCATAATATTTGACTTTCATAAAACCAAAAAGTAAATTAAAAAATTTTAACTATTTATAATGTGTTAAGATTAGTATGGTAATAATGATACAGATGAATTTATCACTGAATATTCTAATTATATTTTTAGCACTTTAAAATTAAATTGCATTGTTTCTTTTAGATTAAAGCTTTTGCATAAAATGGTTAGAGTATTTCTTTATATTATTTGTATGTGTGCGTGTAGCAAACATACTGTTAAAGGATGAAAATTTTAAACTTAAATACTTTTTTAGTAAAAGTCTTCATGGTTAATTTTGTTTCCTGCAAATTATGTTTTTACATGCAGTTCTCTGCCTCATTTACTTTGGCTTCACCTATGGTTGGTTATGAGTAAAAAAGAATTTAGCTGGTAGTAAAAAAACAGATTGTGAAATGTACCCTAACGAGTGGTGTGGAAAGCTGTTTTGATTAAAGCCTCATCTTAAATTAACTAAAAAATGTGATTGTGTAGATAGAATATAAGCTTAACTGATCAAAATGAATTCTTATGAGAATTATCACCTCATCTCAAAATGAAATTGCAAATTTGTAATCAAGCTTATAATAGCATCAGATTATTAAACTAGCAAAATTAAATTTTGTGTGCATCAAGATTATCATGTCATTGACTGCTTATTCATAATTATTTTAAAAGTTTTTAATCACTTTAATTTTAATATTACAGGTAACAGTTTACATAAATGGTGGACGTTTAGGATTTTATCGTGGTGATATTAGGCTACTTATGGATGATATGAAAGCTTTGAAACCTACAATTACGCCTGCCGTTCCTCGGCTATTGAATAGGATATATGATAAAGTAAATATACATTTTTATATTATATTACTTGGTGATATGGAATTCATGCTATTTCATATTTATTAATTTAATTTGTGCTTTCTGTAACTTGTGGATGTGTTTGCATATACAATATTTGGTACTTTTTGATTTTGGGGCCATCATGTGTTGCATATATGGTTAAGATGTTGGTGCAAAATCCAATTAGAAATATAAAATGCAATCTTAACTATATATCATTAATGCTGATTGCTATCATTAAATCCAAAATAAATACAAAAACAGACATTTTTAAACAAGCATGAATATTAATTACTCCAGGCGACAGTTGTGCATCCATTCATTCCTAGTCGCATTGGCGATAATTCTTCCAAATGAAAGTTGTTGCCACCAGCGCTGAATAGATGAATTGTCGTAAAAAAATGCACGAACTTTCAAACCAGTGCCTGCTTTGTAAGTCTTTCATTTTGTGGTTCACTGCAGTCTCATTTGTGTGTTTCAGTAATAGTAAAAGTTACATTTTGTAATTTTCAAGTAGTATTTCGAAATGGATTGTACCTTTGTCTCGAAAGAATTTGCTTGTGACTGTTCAGCTTCAAAAGGCAGAAAACTTCAGTCAGCCCTTCAGTAAAAAAAAATTGGCTGAAAATCTGAGTGGAAAATTGCTAGATCGATATTCATTCTTCTCATTTATTTCCATTGACATCATCACGTAGCTACTTGTGCGATTAAATAAACTGACTATCAATTAAATAAAATTGCCTATCATAATTGGCATGCAGTTGCAACTGGCACCATAACGAAAAATAATTGAATTTTTAAATGCAATGCGTGTGTGTTACTTTATATTAGTAACAAGTGTACTTAATCATACTTTTATTTACTTGTAGGTTCAAGCAACTGTGAGCAGTAGCAAATTAAAGAAACTTCTGTTTCAATTAGCACTCCGAATGAAGCAGTCAGAACTCCAGAGGTATATTATTATGTTACTAGTTACATATTTTAATTGTGATTCATTTTAATAAAGTAGTGAAACAGTTTCAAAACTGTGAAATTGAATTGATTGTGCTAACAAAGATTTGAAATTAAAAGAGAATTTAGAGTACAATTAATACTAGCGGAAGTACCTGATGGCAGTTAAGTTAGATTCAGAGTAATGCATCTAACAACAGAGAGAACAATACCGCTGTAATCCTTCTCTAATAGCGGTGCAAAAAAGTAAGATTCATAGTCATTTATTTTTCACTCTGATGCGATATGGAACCCACATAAAAAGTTTCGCTAGAAAGATAAGCTTATTCTCTCTTATTATATCAGCAACAATGGCTTGCAGTTTTTAACGATTTTCATCTTTCTAATCAAATGATCATAAAAGCTCAAGTTTCTTCTAATATTTCATCTATATACAATTTTAGTCGGTTAAATGTGGCAAAAAATTTATCATAGTTAACCACTTGTGCTAAAAAGACGTGCCACACACGTCGAGATGCTTTTGTCTCAAACCGCGTGCAGAAATGAAAATAATGGGGTGCACACGTTGCCTAACAACGAAATTGTTTATTTCTCGAGTTACAGCTCTGGATTGCACTCACAGACACGGGCCCCCGAGCGGTAAAGTCGCTGAACACTGGTAGTTCGGTCTGAGGTTTGAATCCTGCGAATGGGTTGGCTGCATGGGCGTTTTCATGGTTTTCCCCATGTGTAATGTGTATACAAGCCAGTTTCCCTTAGAAAGTCCTCCACCTAGGCATCCCACCCCTTAGGCAGATGGCCCCTCGAGGCTTTGCCATAATCACACACACGCAGACGCGGAGTGCCGTAAATGAGACACTTTATCGCTTGTTTTATTGTAGCGCACGGCACCGCAACCATGAAGTTTAATCGTAGCGCAAGTGGTTAATCAGAAATCAATAACGCGATTGCCTTTCTGAAAAATGAGTGCAAAAATTAACATTTACAGAGTTTTTAATTAATATCTTGGCTGATTAAAGTCGTACAAAAATGGAAATAGTCAAAATGGCTTCCCATAAATTTTTGGAAATGGGAATAATGTATTTAATCTTTGGTGATGCTATTTTTATTTCATTGTAAAACTTAGAAATTTCTTATTTAATAAACTCTAGGATTTGAAGGCGATCAGTGGCAATAACTTTTGAAATAAAAGTAGATTTTCATCTCCAACTTGCGAGAGTGTTGTCACTTGGAAAAATGAGGATGAAAATTATAGTTTTTTCCGTGTTTTTAATATCTCTGATTTGAGCTATTTTTTATTGAAAAAAAGTGGTTGTCGACTTTTTTCAGAACCCAGAAAAGAATTGTAGAAAGTTTGGTGACAGTAGCTATAGTAGTAACTGAGTTAGAGGACAAACATACTTTTTTCTTTATATATACAGATGAATGCTTTAGTTGGATGTATCACTTTTTAAAATATGCCATTCTTTCATCCTAACCCCAGAATCTAGAATTAGTAGAATTTGTGTAGAGGGTAATTTATTTTTACAACAAAGTTGAAGATGTCCATATTCATTCTGGAAATGCGTACTTCCTGTATTTTATCACGTTTCCTGATATTGCTTTAGCAAGTCTGTGTCAGTTTTCTTGTGTACAGTTATATATTCATGTGTGTGAAAACTGTAACACCATAATGGAATCATATAAATAAACTGAAACTTGGGGGAAATGCAAAGCAGGGTATGCCATGCAAATGATTGGTCTGATAACACATGCATGAACTCGGCAGCTTTGTCTGAACTGCCATGTTAGCCATATAAATGAAGGGTTGTAGTGGAGCATTAAAACTAGTGTTTTGTTCCAAGTGTGTGCCAAGTGTTTCAAGAGAAGTCGCTTGTAACAATTCATGAGAAATTGTGAGAAGGCCTCTGTATAGATAGGCAAATTACACAATTTCAATGGGAAAGAATAATTGACCTGCAAGGGGGGGGGAGATTTTCATATCCTGAAATCACACCTTGCACAAGGCATAATGCCTCATCAAGTGATGCATGTATGGAAGAAGTGGGCTCAGATAAATAACAAATATAGTAGTGGACCATGAGATATTACATAAGCATGGGATGACTGACACTTCGTCCACATGACTGTAATAAATTGTGCTGCTTCATTTTGACATTTGGTACCATAATGAAGAACTGCTGCAAGTATGTCTTGCAGCTTTAACAGTTTGCTAGGATCTGCTCTGCCATGGATTGTGTAAATGCATTCCTTTACGCCCGTCATCTCTCTTGATGCCCTCAGGTACAATGGGCTTGTCAACACAATACTGGCATGCATACTTGGAACAGATATCTTGTTTTTACTGAATCCTTCTTCAGTTTGTGTGCAGCCAACAGTTGTACACATTACATGTTAAAGGAATGAACACCATCTCTCAGAGGGCATTATTGTACTGGATGGTCACCGAGTGTATTCGTTTGAGGTGTCGTTAGTATGATGGGTTCTGAGAACTGAAGGTACTTTCACCAGTGACACTACATTAAGAAGGTTACTGAAACTGAAATCATCCTTCATTCATTGAATTATTGGATGTGTATTTCAACAGTACGGCGCCCATCGATTCTTAGTTAGAAACGTTTTAAGACTTCTCAGCATGTCAAATATCCCTTCTTCCATGACATGCCCATTCATCCCAAAGTCCGATACCTGGCTTGGCTAGTAGCAATGTGAAATATTATTCCTTAGGTACATGTTCAAAATCTGTTTGATTAATACCAGGACGAGTTAGAGCTTTTTTGTAATGCATGGTAGTTTCATCAGATGCTGATTTTCTACATTCAGTATTCTCTATAAATTTAAGCATTTCTTTGTTCCACCATAGGTCATATGTGGAGTTAATTAAAAAAAGGTGTAGCTATATCGAGTGGTAAATGGTTTAATATCGTAAACATTTGATTTCCCTGTAAAAAAAACTGAAAAGTCTTTTGAAAAAAAAAAAAAAAAAAAAAACCCTCATTCTATTTGATATCTCCCCTTCCCAATCAGGAACTGATTTGGTAGCATGAGAATAGTTGTTTGAAGCCACATCAGTTATTTGGTTTGCTATTTGAGACATTCCAGTTTTTGCACACTGCAGCAAAGTTATAATTAAAAAGCAAGATCTTTCATTGAAACAGCCTGTCTAATTTGGCAATTTGGAAAATATATGTTTTTTTTTATTCTATAGGTTTGTTATAAGAAATAACAGTCTTTGGGACCGCCTTGTATTTAAGCCTGTCCGTGAAGGAATGGGAGGAAGAATTAGATTACTTGTTTGTGGTTCTGCACCTTTGGCTGGCAATGTCCTTACATTCATACGTTGTGCTATGGGTTGTGTGGTAAGTACTGCTTTGTATTTTATTCATTTTAAATGGAGGGGAATGTAGGATTTTCAAGAGGGCAAGCATAAAACTTTTGAATTAATTATTTTTAATAGAATGCATAGATATGACAGTATAATTTGCTAAATTATTGAAATTGTTAAATTGAAAATTAGCAAACAGTAGTTTATTAAACTTAAACTCTAGAACCTGTTAAACTAAAACTCTAGAACCATGATTTTCCATTAATAACATGGCACTTTGTAATGATGATTTGAATACCGCGTATATAGATGTTATTGCATAATGTTCTGTTCAAAATACTTTTATTTTACCCTTTGAATTATGTGTATCTATTCTCTTAAGCACTTAATTGACCCTTCTTGTAAGTATATTTTTGTTTTAAAGTGAATATGTTGAGCATAATGGAATATAGTTATTGAAAATGTTTCAGAAACCATGTCTAGTGATGTGTAGTACTGTCTTAAATGCTTCAAGTAATAAATAAATGAATTATGGGTTTTATTTATCCTCATAAAAAGCAAAATGGCATTCAAATTCATTTATATGAATTTAGGAGCTAAGCTATCCTAAATTCATAAAACATGAAATTAATCTTTGCTCGAACAGAAATGCATGGTGTTGTGACTTTGGTCTATTGTGAACAGGTGGTAATGAAATCGGTACTTAAGTAAAGACTGCAATTATTTTTTAAAAAAAAGTCTGAATTTTATGTTTTTATTTCTTCGTACAAAGTAAAGGAAGTATTGTAATTGTGAAAAATTTTGGTTATTGTTTTTCAATGGAAACATTCATTTTGACCATTCCTGAATCCATTTGGACTATTTTTTGCATGACTTCTTCTGCACCTCCTTTGTGTGTGTGTATATATATATATATATATATATATATATATCCATTTACCTGGTCTTTCTTACTTTTGCAATCATTAGTCATGTACTTCCAGTTATGTAAGTGTTTTAAATGAAGAAAATATTCATGTTTTAGCTATGAAATTTAAAAAGAAAATTCAACAAATAGTAAAATTTAACTACATGTATTGTAACATTTTATATATGTAGTTAGTCTTGCAATAAATATTAAGAATATTTAATATCAGTTTATAGTTGCAACAAAAAGTGTGTATAGTTTAATAATCCATAGAAGGAAGTATGATGTCAACATCAGATTTTAGTATTAAAATTTTATTGCACTGACTTATTTTCAAATTTAGAATATGCAACTATATGTTAAAAAAGTTATTATGTTATATTTGTGTAATTATGTGGTATTGAATGTGAAAGTATAAAATGTTATTTCTTATTTTATCAATATGAAGTCTTCCTTGTTAGTAATTTTTACATTTATAATGTAGGTTGTAGAAGGATATGGTCAGACTGAATGTGTTGCTCCTTGCACACTAAATATCCAAGGAGACTATTCTGTGGGTAAGTAATAATGTGCAGTAGTCCAAATTTTACAGTAATGAAAAATTGAAAATCTTCTTATTCTAAAGTCCTTCTTTATTCTTCAAATATATTTATGGTGTTCTTCAAAGTACTGATTCCTTTAAAAAAATGTTTAATTTAAATGTGGGATGAAAATTTTTGTTATGATGAATATTGTGTTCTTTGTCCGATATGTAAAGGAGGTGATATTTATGTTTTACTGATTAACTAGCCTTAAACTGTAATATTCATGCTGCATATAATTTAATTTACTATTATTATTTTTTTGGGGGGGGGGGAACAGAGAATGTGCGTATTTTAAAATAATAATTATACCGAAAATAGCTTTAAGGATCTGGTTGTGAAATTTCCAAAAAACCCACCACTTTCTAGAAAAAAACATTGCATGAAGAAAAAGCATTTGGAACTGACAACTGACAGGTTGCAGATTCAAATTTTGAAATGTAATATTGAAAAAATATAAACAACAATTCTGGGAGGGGAAGCAATAAACACATTATTTGTTCAAAATATTATTCAAAAGTTCATTACCCTTCCATAATGTTACATTTATAGTTTGTTTTATAAACTATTCTGTTGGTAAAATTTTTCGGCATTTTTATTTGATGAGCACATGTAAGTTAACATCCTTTAATGCTCATTGATGAGTAATACTTAGATGAAATTTGTGCTTCTAAAATATATATTCACGTGAGCTGTTCGGACACATAATAAATATTTTCATAAACTTATCAAGACTGCTAAACCTTTGCTCTAGAAAAATCAAGCTTACACATTTGTTTTCAAATAAAAAAATATTCGCGATGATCTTATAAATAAAGGATTATTCTTGACTGCTTTTTTTCAAAAAAGGGGCGAAGCAACTAGGGGAGGTTTAAATCTTCAGTATGCCATAATAGAAAAACTCTGGACATAGTTTGGCTTCCAGCTGAAAAGTAGGGTATTGTTGTCCAATAAGAATCAAATTTGTAAAAGATGTACATAGTTTGGCTTCCAGCTGAAAAGTAGGGTATTGTTGTCCAATAAGAATCAAATTTGTAAAAGATGTTTCTTGTTTAAATGTTGTTAACTGATGGTACTTTTTATCTTTATTTGGAGCATGTGTTAATGATGTTGATGTAAAGTTTCAATTTGTATCAGTTTTAGCTAGAATGTTTGAATATCAAGAAGCTTCACTTAAGATAGAGAGTAACTCAGAGGAATTAATTTATGAATTGGATTATTCAGAATGTAATCATTAACCAAATACAGCTAGAACTAATCATTATTGATGATCAGAATAATAGTAGAAAAGATCCCCCCCCCTCCCGTGTGCTATGAACTTTTTAGTCATGAATATCAGTATTGTTTTCTTTCTTTTTTTATGTTGGATGTTATTCATTTCATTGGTTATAAATTAAAAAATTATTTTTTCTCTTAATCCATAATATGTCATTTAAATAGGTCAAGTAGGCCCACCTATTCCATGTTGCCATATCAAATTAGTTGATGTTCCTGAGATGGAGTACTTTTCTAAAGATGGTCAAGGAGAGGTGAGGTTTATTTCTTTCTGACATTTACTGTCATTTGCCTGATATATATTGAGATTATATTGTCATTTTTCATCTGCTGTGTGTTTGATTCAGTGTGTGTAATACAAAGTTTAACCTATCATAGCATTTCAAGGTGTTTTAAAAAATATCATACTTGTATGAAGTAGTTAGAAAAATTTGTTACCAACCTATTTCTTTTTACTTGCTGGGAAAGTGACATTTGATGGTTTGCTATTTTTCAGGTTTGCATAAAGGGTCTGAATGTTTTTAAAGGTTATTTTCAAGATCCTGAAAAAACTGCCGAAACTGTTGATGCCGATGGATGGTTGCACACAGGAGACATTGGAATGTGGCTCCCAGTATGTTTCTTTGCATTAATCATATATGAAGTTTTTTTATCTAGTATTTAAAGAATTTCCAAAATGTGATGTAGAGTTCAGTAATGTATTATTTAAAAAAAAAAAAAAAAGACTAATGCATTTCATTTGGTTGTTTATTTATGATGTACATGTCTAATAACAGCATTTGAATTCAAATTTTTATTTATTTCTTTGTGTAAAATTTGGAGCTTCCAGTGTTTCATTGAACATTTTTGTTGAGTGCCTTTCAGAAGTAAAATTTATGCTTGTGGAATATTAACATTACTAACTACCTATGAATTTCATGTTTTTAAATCTGATCAAAATTTTTCTCACTAAATTTAATTTTTGCATATAATTATTATACTGTAAGTGTGTGTAATGCTTATTCTTGGTAGCCCAGACTTGTATATTTACTAAGCACAGACATGTTTATCAATAAACAAAATAACAAACTGTACCCTGAATAAATGCATTTGTAAGTAATAAAAATTGCATTATGGAAACCTGTAGAAAATTAGCTTTTAAACTCTTCTTCATATTTCTGATCTTATATTGTAAAACATTTTCTTCTGTCATTCTGTGTAATCGTTTAACTATTATTGAATACAGAGCTTAAAAGTGGAGATCTAAATCTTTAAAACAAATTATAAAATAAAATAACATGTATTAATAAAACCTATGGAAGGAAATATTTCATTTGAAACTAAAATTTGCTTCTGGAATCTGTGTGTTCAACACAGCTAAATAAAAATGAATACATCTGTATCCAAATATAGTTATTGAATCCTTTGAGAATTTTGTAAACGTTCCTCCCATTTTTAAGTGTAAGTTAAGCTTAATTCATAAAGAAAAAAAATTAGAGATTCACAATTTGTATTTACTACAAAGAGATCGCTGATACTGGCACAGAAAGTATTTAAATGACTCCAATAATAAAATAATTTTTCAAAGTCAAAATTTTTTTCAAGTCAAAATATGTTATAAATATATTGTACTTTTTAAAAATGTACTTGCATATAAAGAGAGAAGTGCTGTTAAATTTATCAAGTTGGATTTTCTGAAAATCAAAATTTTATTCATTTACATTCAAATTTGAGCCGGCATTATGCACCTTCGCAACTTAAGAAAACATAAATTATTAAAATTCTGCTCTATTAAATTTTTTAACTTTGCATAAATAGTAAAAAAATTCTTAAGAAAAATGTGTAATGAAAATTTTAGAAATTAAAGATTCAAAATTATTAGAAGGAATTTTTTACATTTTAGCTAATTCTTATTCGAGCACTTATATTGTTAGATGCTGTACTGTATATTAAAAATTTTTAAATTAATATAGCAAATTATCAGATTATCTGATGATATTTTGGTTCATTTTAGTTCATATAAAAACCATTTACCGTAATTTCCGGAAGAAAGGCCGTATCAGCGTAAACGCCACAATAGATTAAATTGCGCGTGACATCGCTGTGGGCCGTATAGATGCAAAATCTCAACCTAAGTCCTGATATATGACATATCAGTTAAGGAAAATGCATAAAAATGAAACCGTAACTCAAAAATAAATTAAAGGTACGAAATGTTGAAAATATATTTATGTTCACGTATATACTTAATTTACCCACTAAAGAAGTCCATATTTGTAATACTCTGACTATATTATAAAAAATGTTACAACAATGAAATATTAAATTTGGATGACAAAAGAAATTTTTACTTACAAAAGGAATTACAGCAAACCATACATCATATGAAGCCATCAAAATCCAATTGTTCACTATCTGAATTAAAAAGATTTAGTAAATCCTGATCTAAGTCCAAGTCTTCCAGATTATCACATTCATCCTCTTGGTTTACAGTCTCTTTATCTAAGGATATAATTTCAGCTTCTTTGAACCCTGCTATTATTGACGATGTTTTTACCGATTTCCACGCACTTCCTACCCACTTTGCAACTTCTTCATAACATGCTCTACGCATTTTACCGCTTTTGGTATACGTATGCAATCCTTTACTCATCCAACACTCCCACCGTTTTCGGACTTCAGCTTTGAAGGATTTATTACCTGACAAATCTAATGGTTGTAAGATTTTTGTCAAACCACCAGGAATTATTGCTACGGTCGTAGACATTTTTAGACATCTGGTTTTCACTGACTCAAGTAAACGAGCACGCATGGAATCCATTCTCAATAACCCTTTTGGGTGGAAAAAAGATATCTTACTACACTGCCAAACTTTTTGTAGCCACTCGTGCATGATTGTTTTGCACATCCTGCCATTCTCATTTGCACAAATAATTAGCACAAATAATCAGAAAAATCTCCCTTCAGAATAGTCTTTCGTTTAAAAATGATCATCGGCTTTAGCTAGTCACTGTTTGCGGCACAAGCTAACACACATGTAAATGACGTTCTTTCATGCCACAGCTTAAGCACAGATACAATTTTTGCACCAGTTTCATCAACAGTTCTGTTTGCAGGAGAAAGCTAACGGCGTTTCATCCATATTTATTATCTGTGACCAAAGAAGTTTTTTTTTTTGTCAGTAATATCTGTCACATATTTTAATTGTTTAATGGTTCACATTTAGAAAAGATGCCTTTTTATCCTGCCAGTCCATTGGTAATTGTTGCCCGACTGTTGTTCTAGTACGCACAGAAATGTTTTTTCTTTTCATAAATCTGCTGCACCAGCAAGGCCCTCCTTTGAAATCATTTATGTTCATTTGTTTTGCTATAAATTTTGCTTGTAAGTGAATTTTTACAGTCGAAATTGCCATTCCCTTTCCTCTTTGCTCCTTTATCCAGTTTGCAAAGTCATCCTCTAGATTCGGCCACCTTACAGTACCACTTCTTTTGGCTCATTTCTGTTGTGGCATATTTTTAAGAAGTTCTTTTTCAGTTCTCCAACGTCGAAATGCATCTCTCGTCCAATTCAAATTTTCGAGCTGCTGCTCTATTTCCAATTTGTTCAGCACATGAAATTACATTAAGCTTAAAACCAGCAGTATAGCTTCTGTGCCGTTTAGGTGCCATTTAAAAAAATTTTCCACTCCCTTCTTACTTAAAAACTATCCAAAAAGTACTTGTGCCCAAACTGATGGGATCTCTATCTGGCAGAATGCCAAGAAAAATCGATTGATGCTGAAGGGGAAATACGTCATCAGTTCCTTATTGCGAGGCAGGTGGAGTCGTGTCCGCCTTAGAAAAAAATTGCAGTAGATTTATAATGGCAGGGGGTGGGGAGAGGATGGGTCCTGAAAGATTCATTGAATGGCAGAAGGGAGAGACTACTCAAAATGATGAGAATGCTGATTTGAAAGGGGGAAGAATGTTATTGTTCTGAGATCCTGTTTAGGGTGAATAAGGCATGTAGGTCCGTTCAAGGGAAAGAATGTAAACAAAATAACGTTCGCAAAAAGCAACTGAGTGGTCTTTTGTGTGGAAACAGCACCAGTCTATGTACAATGACAAGGCCATCCAAACTATGTGCAATGACCATCATAGGAAATATTTATAGTGCACCTACACGCAGCACCCGCTGAAAATTTAAGTTTTAAACACGTAAATGCCGCGGCATTTCTTCCAGAAATTATGGTAATTTTTTTATTTTGTCTGCAACCTCTCTGTTTATTATTATTTCCTTACAGAGGCTTTGGATTCTTAATTAATATAGCATTATGACTTTTTTTAGGGAATTTCCTGATTGAGTAATCTTTTTAAATTTGTGTTGAAGTTTTTAATACTTTCTCTACATTTTAAATGTGTGTATTTTTAATAGAATGGAACCCTGAAAATTGTGGACAGGAAGAAGCATATTTTCAAACTTGCGCAAGGAGAGTATATTGCTCCAGAGAAAATAGAAAATATTTACTTGTCTAGTACATATGTATCGCAAATATTTGTTCACGGTGAAAGCTTACAGGTAAGACTATTCCAGAAATTTTTATTTTTAAAGTTTTTGGCATTAGAACACTGTTTTACAATAGCAATGAGGTATATGTATTCTACTAAGGCATTGTTATTAAATTAAAACCATTTAAATTGTTAAACATAAATTTTGCCTAATTTCTAAGTATTGCTTCCTTAAATAGTTATGGTGGAATCGTTTTTGTATGTATTTTAGTTTTAAGGAGTAACAAATGATTCTGTACATTCTCTCTATTTAAAGTTCTGCTAGTACCTGAGCAGTAAAATCGATGAATACTGATAATTTGACCTGGTTTTAGATCCCAGCAGGTAGTCGAGTTAAACAGGAACTTTCTCATTACATAATGCTTGTTTATCTTACTGGAATTTTGGGTAGTTATCCAGGCTGTGATACAAGCATAGGCAGTATTGGTGGCTGCCTAGAGGCCAAGTTACTCTCAAAGCTAAGAATCAACAAAGATGTATTTCACTTTGAATTGAATTGTGCTTAATTTATATGAGGTAATAATTGGATGGATCATCTAGGAGCTGAAAAGTGCAGCAGCTTCGATTGTAGTTATCTACAAATATGCAAAAGCATAATTATTAGTTCCAAGTAAGAAGTGTGGGATGTTTAGAAGTTTATTTGTTTCAGCTCTAGAAATTCTTTGATTTTTTTTTAAATATTATGATATTAAAAATAATGTTTATTTCTGAGGATGTTTAGAAAAATATTTTATATTATAAGTCGGTGACTTTTATGTAAGTGTATGTTAAATATCCACCAGTATGTTGCTGGAGCAAACCAGCGAAGAAAGGCTGTGCCTTTTCACTCCCTCCTCTTCCGACATTATATTCTCTGAAAACATCACATATCATGGTGGAGTAGTTGGTGCCCCCCCCCCCCACCTACCTGAGCAGCAAGCGTGGTTGGACTCTAACCCTTGAGTGTGTATTTTTAATAGTAATGAGTGTGACAGGTGCTCCTGAACTGCACTCTCACTTATTGCCAGTGGTCATATTATGAGCCTCTCTTTCAAGGAGGGTACGAAAATCTTTGCCATGTGCACCAAGTCTGAGCACATAATAAGCTGCTAAGCAATCCCCTACTTGTGCTCGACTTTTTTTTTTTTTAATAATGTTTTTTGAAATATAGTGGGGAGAAGTACTTTTGAAATCGTGGAATAAAGTTCCTTCATTGTTTCTGCATTTTAGTTATGGAATTTTTGACAAATTCTATTTTGTTCCTGTAAATAATTGTTTTCAAAAAGTTGGTCTAGTTTGATAAGCTGTGAGGTAGCAATAATTCTGACAGTTGTAACAGGTCATGAATATTGCATAAAATTAAAAAGTATTTTTCTAAAGTTTGTTTCTGAATGTAAATTGATCCATGTATGATCCAAGAGATCAGATTTTACTCAAATTGAAACCTGTGTATAAGCCCAATTTAGAATCACCTGGCTAAATCCCTAAATATGTAAATAATTGTCTAACTCTGATATACCTGTGAGATGAACTGAAAGTAAATGTTGTTTCACTTTTATCTTCCATTCAAAAAATAGAGTTGACAGCTTTTCAGAGTGAAAGATGCTTTTAATTCTAATATTTATTCATTCTTTACTCTCCCAACTTTTGGCTTGCACGTCATTTCGTGCTTTGGCTATATTGTGGCAAATATTACTTCGGATCTGTGAGGTCTACCATTACGACAGTAATGGTGGTTTTTAGAACAAAGGCATTTATTCAGACTTGTTTCTAGCAGAGAGAGTATTCCAAGAATTGCTAAATTAAACTAGACCTGAATCAGACAGCAGTATTAAAAAAAAAATCTGATTAATGTACATTAGGATTAAGAACAAAATAAATAAATAAATAAGTAAGATCGTTATTGTGTAAACTATAATATAAGAAAATAATACAGTACACTTTGGGTACTTTTGTAGAATATAAAATTTAAGAGGCTTAGAGAAGAAACTAAAGTAAGAAGTAACTAAAAGAATATAGTTAAACTTGTTGTAATTGATAAATTGTGTAGTGATAAGTCTATAATTACATTTAATTTTTGATTTTTTTGTCTAGAGCTGTTTGGTTGCAATTATTGTTCCTGACAGAGAAGTTGTTTTATCTTGGTGTAAAGAAAAAGGAATTGGAGGTACTTGGGATGAAATTTGTAAACATAAGGTAATTTTATTCTTAGTTATTTAATATTTTTTGTAGCCTAGTCACTTCAGTGAAAGTGATGCAATCATATAATGTTCATAATTTTTTATGCTTAATTAATTAATTTCAAAATAATATGTGCATATGTGTTAGTAATGGATTGAATGCACATTGACTTGATAATAGCATGATAAAATTTGTTTTACCAAAAGAAACACTTTACAGTTCTGAAGCTTGCCACAAAAGTACTCGTGCACCATTCTGTAGTATGACAGAGCACAATCAGTAGTTACCACTTCAAACTACTGCGAACATTAAAAACAATGCAATGAAAAGCGCATCTAAAGAGGGAAGCCCCCACGAAGATCTCTCAGTATTCGGAAGTCAAGTCTGAACTGCCCACCAGCGGCCGAGCGGTAAATTCGCTGAACACTGGTAGTTTGGTCCGAGGTTCGAATCCCGCGAACGGGCTGGCTGCATGGGTGTTTTCGTGGTTTTCCCCATGTGTAACGTGTATACGAGCCAGTTTCCCTTAAAAAGTCCTCCACGAAGGCATCCCTCCCCTTAGGCAGATAGCCCTAGTGTGCTTTGTCATAATTAAAATACACACACACAAGTCTGAACTAAAAACTAAGAACTAATGCTCTCTTCAGTCTGAGTCCAGTGGCCAGGGAGAAACTATGTAAGAATATTCTCACATAGTCTTTCCCTGGCCACTGGTTTCAGATCCATTGCCAAGTTATGCCATTCCATGCGATGCTATACGCAGGATGTGGCTTGTAGCCCAGGAGCCTGATTTAATGTGCTTCGCACCTGAGCCTTTCCAGGGGAAGACTGGCCCCTTTCCATTATTATCTAAAATAATAATGGAGGGGCCAGTCTTCTCCTGGGAACTATCAGAATAGTCCCCCCTGGCCACCAAAGAATTTCCAGTACCTTCCATTTTTTTAAAATTTCTGGAAGGCATATGCAGTTAAAGTTGCATATGAGGGTTGGACATGGTTACAGTTGTATATAAGGATCAATTACAGTTATAGAGTGACTGGACAAAATTTCACCAAATGGTTGCCAGGTTTGCTAATTTCTTGCCAAATTTGGCCACAGAAGTTAGTCACAAACCATTGCCAGCTTGACGATAGCTCTTCAGTTTAGCGAGATAGCCATTTACTCATTATTAAACAAACTTTTACTCATTTAATAGTGATCTTACTTTTCCAGTTCAGAAGATGATAGTGATCCTAGTGATCTTACTTTTCCAGAAAAGTTTCATATATCTTGAAGACATAATGATATGTTATAAAATTCATAACATTATTTCTCAGTGATATTCTGAATTGAAATTAGGATTAAATTATTGTAGCTTACATTACTCTTGTGTACTTTGCATACTCTCATTATTGTAGCTTACATAATTTTAAAAATAATATGCAGTGCTTAAATTTTTGAATGTTTTATAATATATATTAACTTTTCTTTGATGCCATATTTAAAAAAAAGTAAGAAAATTATTCATTTTCTGAAAGAAGGAAATTTTGACTTATTTTGCCCTCAAAATTCTTAATACTATTTCTTATTTGATGATCTTATGTAATATATAGTTCACTTGAATAATTGAACTAAATATTAAATGAGGGATAAGAAAGATCGAAAGTGTGCAGAAGTTAGTGTTTTCAAAGTGCGGGTTTAAACTTGTATTGTAAAAAATGAAATTAGAATTCTTGAATATGCAATTGAAATACCTTTAATTAATTTTACTCATTCAGAATATTCACCATTCTTGCCAACTCTAAGAGAGTAAAATTCAGAAGATTTTGAAAACCTTCAAATAAATAAAGAAAGCTTAAAACCAAAAACTGACTCATATCTGAAATTTTTGAGAGAAGAAGAGGCATATATATACCCAAAAGAAGAAGGATGTTAAACATATTAGATTTATTTTAATGTGTTTACTTACTTTAGCCTTTTTAGCTTTAAATTAAAATTCAGAAATTTTGCATCAACATATTTCATGCATCAGAATTTGATTAAATTTTGCAATAAAATTTCATGCATCAGAATATGATTATTCTGGTGCATGAACCTTCACACGTTTTTTCATGCATCAGAATATGATGAATCAAATTTCATGCATCAGAATTTGATTACATTTTGCAAAAAATTACCAAACATAAATTTATTTCCTTAATTCTCGTTTTAAAACCCAAGAAATAAAAAATAAGAATTTTTATTTATTGAATATTTATTTCTCTAAAATTATGTAACATCAATATGTTATTTTTATGATGATGATATTATTATAACAATTTTATGTTAAATGAAAAAAGGTGTGAAATTTGCAAATCATTGAATCAAAATTTTTGTAACCCAAGTACTTTGAAAAATACTAGATGATAAATTACTAAAAACATGATAAATATACCAGATCTAACACTGCAATAAAAAGAACACATTTAAACAGTAACCCAAAGTGTACATGGAGAACTTATTTAAAATCCAGATTTGAGGATATCTCTGAAGCTGTTACAATTTTGGTCTATTAAAAAAATTTCAAAATTAGTAAAAAATTAATTTTCCATGCATTAAACTAAACATTTTTTCATGTATATTATGAAATATCTACAAAAGTTGGTGGATATGATTCACCATATAGTTTGTGTATGGGTATTATTTCATATCAATTATTATTTAAGAATGCTTTTGTTTAAATTATCATACATTTTATGTTTGTTTTTAGGATGTCAAGCAAATGATTTTAGATGACATAACTAGGCTAGGAAAAAAGGCTGGCCTTAAATCTTTTGAACAGGTACTAATTTATTCCTTTTAACATTAATGTATTCTTTCTCTAGGCATTCATGATGTCAGACTGATCATAGTCAACTGTCATAGACTTTTCGCATACTTAAAAATATTTACAAACTTACATGTGTATGGATATATGGTTATCTCTCTCTATATATAAGCTTTAAAAATAGTTAAGTATTGTAATTTGTAATATTTCACTAGAGGGTTTGAATTATATAGAAATGCACATGCTCTTCACATGGGGAAAAAGAAAACCGATTCTAAAAAAGAGTGTTGGAGAAACATCACTATAGAGTAATATAAATAATGAAAACCAGTGTGTTTGAACTTTATAAGCATTTTCATTAAAATAACATTTAAAAATCACTGTTAATATATTCTCTTGCCATAACAGAGTAGGAAAAAAGTACATGAAAGAGGAATAACCCACATCAGAGTTGCCACGCTACGTGGAAAACCGGAAAAAGTCAGAGAATTCGAAAATTGACGAAAAAATTCAAGGGAGAAGTCAGGGAATTTAAATATTTTAGTCAAAATCTGAGAAAGTTGGAATTTCATACAACAATCCCGCCAAAAAAAGCGAATTTTGAGCCAATGTTGGAAGAGATCACTTTTTTGGCGAATTGTGTAATGCGTGAGCATCATTCGGACAGCTGGCATAGAGCTAATTTTCGCAGCTCCAATTTGATTGTCTTTTAGAAAAGTAAAGCAAGTTTCCAGTAACCTCGAGAATCTCATGTTGAACTAAAGAAAGTACTTATTCTCGTATAAAACAAAATGGGTTTAATCCTAATATATGGTACTATGGAGGTTAGAATCAAAGAATATGTATTGTAAAGAAGGTAAACCTCTCTGCAACAGACGTGGCTCTGTTCCAACATAGAGGAAAACAGCTGTGCATACACGAAATATCTGTTGCCAATGCTCGAAACCGGTGTCGAAGTTTGAACGTTATCTAGAGTTCAAAAAATAAATATCGTTTAAAATTTCTTTAAACTTTAAAGGAAAAGAAAATATTTTTGGCTCAATTAAATTGATTCATGGATCAACTGAGTTAAAAAAAAAACTACGAAAATCCGTTTTTAAGTTATTACGAAAAATCCAAGAAGAAACATTCTTTGACAAAATGTTTCTTCTTGGATTTTTTGCTATAATTTAAAAACAGGTTTTTTGTAGTTTTCTTTTTTGTTAAATAATGTTTCTTCTTAACACGTGTTTCTCAATTTCCTGTACACATCGCGGAGAGGGAAATTCTGGCTGCCAGGTTCCGTCGCCAAATGCCTTGGCAAATTTTTCCCTCCGCTTTTTAGCGGCGTAACAACATTACATCTATGGAACCTTTTCTTTTTCACATTGACGTTCTTTGGTTAGAATAACCTCCATGTACGGTACACATGGGATTTGGCGACATTATGATGAGCAGTAAGCGGGTCAATTTGGTCTTGACGACAATTTTCAAAATCGTGCCAATGCCTTTACTGTATACTAGGATTTTTACTGCAAAATCTTTTAAACCTTTTTTTTTTTCTTTATAATAAATGCATAATAAGTTTAACATCTTAATTTAATTATTTAACTAATACTGTGATTAGTTAAATAATTAAATAAAGATGTTAAAAATTCATAAAGACAAAACAATTCAACTTTAAATAAATAAATAAAGCCTCTAAATCAAGTTCTGAGAAAATCAGCTTCAAGGTTTATTGTCTTGAAAATGTATGTATCGAATTTCATTGCCCCTTTTCCCCCCATCTTTGCACTATATTACCTATATATATATATAGGTACCTGCTAATTCTTGAAATTATTAGAGATTTGAGCAGAAAATGCCAAATTTTCTTGCATCATGTTTTTTTTGGGGGGGGGGGCTGAAAAGTTATAAATTCTACATTTTGGAAGTCTTAACCCCCTGGTTACAGATTTATTTGAGAAAATCTTTGCATGTGGAACGGATATAATTTTTGGTTGCTTGGAGTAGAATGTAAAAGCAGTACATTTTACGTAAGAATTTATTTATTTCTAAAATATTGGTGACATATGTAGTATTAAGATATCTTCAAGTAATTACAATTGCAAAACAAAAATAAATTAATGACAACAAACTAATGAAATAAATTGAAGCTATAACAAAAAACCAATTACTAATAATTATGCAGAGTGTGATATTTTTCAAAGCAAGTAAGTAAATACAGTGTTACTTTGCATTGTTTGCACTGCCACATAGTCTCTTTCCTAATATTACGCTTATAACAAACACGGCACCTTTTTCCAGGGTGTTGCTTGGACTTGGTTGATGGAATATTCTCGGAAAAGTGTGCCCAATTTTTCGCTGCCAAACGAAATGGTGTATTGCTACTTGATGGGCGTCCACGACGTTTATAATTTGGCAATGACAATTGCTTCAGCAATTCTTCGTCAATAGCTAAACGAAAGGAAGTAATGCCTGCCTTGGTTGTGCAGTTGATTTTAGAATATAAAACATGAGCATTATAAAAGGCCATATCTATTAGATAAAAAATAATTTCTTATAACCCTTTACAAATTTTGTCATAACTGAGAAGCACGCTAGCAATTGGTCTTGTTTATCAACGCCTCCCATGCCTTTATTATGCTCAAGCACAGATGCCGGTTTTATAATATTTTCGCTATTGCCACTTTCATTTTTTCTCCTTTTGCCTGTGTTTATCAAATCAGCATTTGAATGTTTCGTGCTAAGTATGTGAATCATCCGCTCCTAGGGAAAACAAGTGAATGACATCTCTCAGACGTCAAATGTACCCAAGAGTTTAATATTTGGTTTGACGTCTTGGACACGTCATCTGTTCCTAGGGAGAAAAAAGTGAATGATGTGTCTCAGACGTCAAATGTACCCAAAGGGTTAATTTACTTGATTATATCTAGCAACAAATATCTGAATTATGCTCATGTGGTAAATCCAGATTCCTACAACTTTGTAGTTTATTTGTTTGAACTTATTACACTGTTTTTTAAGCTTGTATTGCTTATTGTTCTGAGTAATATAATTATTATTCTGTATATAATTATTATTCTGAATAATTTTTTCAGTTATTATACTGTCTGAGAACCACATGTGTAATATATTAGTTTTTTTTTTTCTTCTCTACTTTACAGGTGAAAGACATTTATTTGCATTCAGAAATGTTTACTGTTGATAATGGACTTCTTACGCCTACTCTTAAAACAAAAAGGCCTGACTGTAGAAAATGCTTCATGGGTGTAATAGAAGCTATGTACCAATTATTGGCGTAATTCTTGTTGCATGTCATTGCAAAAAGTATGCAAATGACATGAAATAATTTCATGATGAGAAGGACTGCAGAGGAAAAAAAGCCCATATCGGAGCAACACATTGCATATTCTGATACATATTGCACATAGGGCTTTAAAAGTTTTTTCCCATATATCAAAATGTATAGCATTTGGCAATGTCGAAGAGTGTATTGAGCTTCAGATTTGAAATTGTGCATCATAAAAAGTTGCATACATATACTCACGAAATGTGTACATTCCAAAAAAAAAAAAAAACATGTTTGACATTTCTTTTGTTGTTGGTAAAAAGAAACTAGGAAGTGTCTTTTGCAGACTACTTTTTTTTTTTTTAATGTCCTCGAAGGATAAAACTTCATCTGAATTTTTCATATTTGATTTTGAAAACTCAATTCTTGACTTTCTGGTAGTAATTTAATGTGATTTAATACTGGTGAAAATTATGTAAGGGGGGCAAAATTGGAATCAAAATAAGTTCTATAAATTTAGTTATTAAATTAGTTTGTTGCTAGCTGTATTTTTATAGATCTGATTTTGTATAAAGATAACTTTCATTTTTTATATATTTATTGTTATTTTATGCCTTTTTCTTGCATTGTTTTTAAGATATGAAGGCATTTAAAATTCTTATTGGCTTTCAGTTGTGGTACTCTGAATAGCATTTTGCCTTTTTTTTCAGATTCCAGTAATGTATCTATCGTGTGCAGTGTTTAATTTATTGTGTGAATGTGGGAGGTTGCCTCGAATGGTCTTGTAAGGGTATATTTGTTTTCCGTTGGTTTTTGTTTCAGAAATAAAAAATGGAACTTACTGTGAAATTTTGAACGATGAAATACAGTTAAACTTCCATAAGAAGACCACTCTCTTCTTAGGTATATGGTTCCATTCGATGGAGTTGCCTTGGAGAATATGGCTGCTGATAATGTTTTCTGAAATACTGGTTTCTGTGAGAGGTTTCACTGTATTTCTGTAGTCATCTTTGTGTTGAATTTTGAATTCATTCAAAAGTCATTTTTGTTGTTGTACCATTATCATTATAAAATGTCTTTTTTTTTTTAATGATAAATTTTGATTCTTGAATTTTAGTCCTCAAGTGTAAATGTTAGTGTAATGGAATGAATAAATCTATAAAAAATTGCTTGCTAGAAAAGACTAAAAAATTGTGCTGTTATTTTTAAAATCAATTTTAAGAATAAAAGTATGTATATAGCTTTCTTTAGAATCTAAATAGTTGTTTATAAATTACAGCTTGATTGAAAAACGTGTAAAATTTTAATTTGGATTGACATTAATTTCATAGAAAAGACATGTTTTTTTTTTTTTTTTTTTTTTTTTTTTTTCCCCCCAGGATTTGATGCTGTTCTATTTTGAAATGTGTAGTTCTTTTATAAAGGCAATATTGTTCTAAAACTGAATTTTATGTAAATTATTAAATTTCAAATTCATATACCTTGGTTTTATCTGTTATTTAGATTAACTTCAAAAATAAAAAAATTGGAATCCAAGTAGGGAAAAAAATTGGACTTAAAAATAATAGCTCAATTAATTTGTTTACATGTCCATGATCTGAATGTTATTATGTTGCTGCTGATTTAATATTCAGGTAATTTTTCAGTGGACACTAAATGACTTCTTAATAATCAGCATTTGAATGTAGATAATATATGTTAAATGTCAGTTACTTCTTTTGATGAATGGTATAAATTTGCTTTGAATGCAATTTATTTTTTAAATAATATTCATAATTCCAAAGATAATGCAGGAATGTAAATATTATGCAAAATCTTCTTGTTTATAATAAATGTGATATAACCCAGGAGATAATCAGTAAGAATTATGGTCAACCATGAAAGTCTGGAATTTCTTTTATACATGAAAAAAATAATTTAGTTTTCTTCAGTATAGATTGGTAATATATAGAATAGACTGGGACACAGAGAAAGAAAATATGCAGGGAAGAATATACAGTATGTATGGAGTTATTAATTGCAATTTGTGTTGATTATGCTATCATTAATTACAAATTATTTCTACTTTTCTGATTTCCTTGCTTAATATAACTTCTGGAGTTATTCTAAATCTTAAAAGTTTGGAAATAATTAAGGGCTAATATTATATAAAAAAAAACTTCTCTAAAAAAGTACTATTTCTGCCTCGCATATGCTTTCAATTTCTGTTAGGTGAAATTTTGTTTTTTTATTGATGCATATGTACTGCAATTAATAGGTTTGTGGGCTTCTAATTTTAGATGTTACTAGATTTTGAGCATCAACACTTTTATGTGCAATTATAAATTATGTTTTATCGTTTTAGGAATAATTGTCACGAGTGACATTAAGAAAATTTCTCTATAAGTATTTTGACACATAAATTATGCTGTATTGAAGTAGGGAATTTTAAAATCTTTATTACTCCACAATATTCCGTAAACATATCATTTATTACAATTTAGTATTTAATATAAATAATCAAGCAATTAGAAATTTGAAATAATAATAATCCTCTAATTTCAAGGTTGACCTTTTTTAATTATGCTTTTTAATTTGTTGTATTTATTTATTATGTTATTTATTTGACTTGAAATTTACATCACTTTGAATGAAAAGTCATGATTACACTGCATGGTTTTAAAATTAGACAAATTTAGAAAAAGGAAAATTTAATTGAGTGAGTAAGCAAAACAGTGCAAAGCGTTTTTTCCTTTTTTTGACTTAATGTGATATAATAGAAAGAGGGAAGAATGCCTCTAAGTGTGCAGAGTAAGCATGTGGCAACAAAAATAAAAAAAGATGGATTAAAATGTTGGTGTAGAGGAAGGCCTATTAAAAAATTTCTAACTTTAAAAAGGTCATGTAAAGTGTATTATTGAGAAATATTTGTATTTAATAAATAAAATTAATTTTTATTACTATTGAAAATATTGTTAGGAAAATTATAATGGAAATACTTTTAATTTAATAAAAATAAAATGTATATATGCTTTCATATGTTCACTTCATAGTTCTGTGTGCTTCAGTTTAGTTTATATTTTCATTTTAATATATATATTTTTTCCCAAAGATGTATTTTACTTTTTTGTCTGTCCCTTTCTGATTAAAATTTAAGAAATAGAATACTCTTAGTTTTACTTTTTTCTTATTTCTCGTACTCTTCTTGTTTTAAGTTATCAGCTATTCTCAAAGTATTACTCTTGGTTGGATGAATATCGGTGAAATCCATAAAATAACATATCTTTTCTAATGACTCGTTCATAAATATTCACATGCATATAAAATTTAACCAGTTTTGTGTGTAAAATTTAATATTTTTCTGAGATAATGAAGCATTAGAGGATTATTTTTGGACAGTAATGTTTTTTTCGTTAAGTAATCTGAAATCGTTTTAAAGTATGTTTGTCTTTGCAAGTTATTTTAAATGTGCATGTATAGGCAGTCCCCAGGCTTAAAATGATGCATCTTGTTGGCATCTTCAAGTTGGAATTGAGTGAAATGGACTTTCATTAGACTGTTAATATCATAAATCAGGTCGTCTTCAAGTAATTCATACTTTAGTTGCATTTTGTCCTTCCCTAATACGAAAAAAAGTTGATATATTGCTCATATGAAATATTTTTATCACTACTGTAATATTTGGAAATATTTGTTTTGGATTTACCTTCAGTATTTATTATACTAGTGTTTACTGTTAAATATGTATATTTTTTAAATTAGCTCATTTTAGCACATTTTTTACTGGTATTTTTCCTACCTTGTTCACACACGCAAATTGGTCTTTTTCAATATAAAATTAGGTGTTCTTTACCTGTAATTTGATGTATGCTCTAGAAAGGAGATCTTTATTAGATTCCAGAATTTATGTAATTAGTATTCTCCCTTGAATACTGGGTCGTTTTATGTCTGTTAACAATCAGTTTTATTATAAAGATAAAAAATACAGTCTGAACCGTGGTGACGTGAGTGAATTTTTTAAAAATTTACTAACAGAGAGATAATTTTCTGTTAAGCATTGATGCATGTGCAATGAAAAAAATTTTTAAATTGAAGGATTTGTACAAATTAATAAAATTTTGGTGATAGACAGCATTAAGGATCATGGTTACAAGAAAATAAAACTGTAAAATCAATTGTAGATATTTTTAAGGTAAAATGTGAAGTGTGTGAACATTGTATGTTTTCTATCTGATGAGAAATTATGTTTGTGAGTGTTTGTAAAGCTAATTATTAGTTGAAAATTATTTCCTTTCATAATGTGAAACATTTGTTACACTTTCTGTTGTTACATAAATGCTCATAATATATTAAGTGTATTAGCATCTAACTGTTGTATTTAAGAAGAATTTTGAAATTAAAACAGATCAGATATGCCATCTTAATTTTTTATAAAATGATACAGTTGATTTCAGAGTTATAATTTTCTAAAAATTTAATTATGAAGCTTAATTTTTTAGTTCTATTCCATATTCACATGCTTCTCGATGGTAGTTATTTTGTTTTCTTTTTGGTCATCTGAAGGTTTTGTACATATGTTTGTCATTTTATGTAATTTATGAAAATAAACTTGTTTACAAGTGAATTCTTGTATCTATTTACTTCATACAGTAAAGAATTCTGAACTGAACATCATAAGACTTCTTATTGTCCTAACAAAAAGCCAATGCTTGGTTTGTGGCATGAATTATAGCATATTGTCAAGTCAATTTAACATTAATATAAATGAGGAAAGGAATCCGATATGGTAGATCTTAATAAATAAATAAAATCTTAAAGGTTTCAGATTTTAAATTATATCCAATGGGGATTTTTTTTAACGTTTTGCATGTTACCTTTATTTATTAAATATCATGTTCTTCGCACTTAAACCATAAATTCAGTTCAACAACAATATCACAAAATAATTTTAAAATGAGCATATCTTTAGAATTTCTGATACCCAGTCCCACATGCTGGAGATAAAAAAGAAAGGGGGTAGAGTGTTGCCATTGCTCGCTTTTAAATCGTTTACAAATTCGAGCTTCCAGATGCCTTTATTCGGGTGGAAATGTACATTATTCAAAACTGGATGGCTCTATGTACCGTTGTTTTATCACAATGCATATATATTTATGCAGATTCTTCATTATTTAATTTCTTTAAATATAATACAGGGTGATAATATTTGGAGGCAGCAATTTGAAAAGTGAATCGGACATTTATAGTGAACCAACACAAAATGTCAAAACAAAAATAATAGTCCTTCAGGGCAAATTGCCTTTTTGGGCTAAAAATTACTCAAGAAATTTTTGGAATAACATGCAAAGAAAAGATTAATTTGGACTCAATACTTCGCCTAAAAAGTACATTAAAAAAAAGAAAGACTAAGTGTACCAAGGACTCTTGCTGGTTTCAGAGAATCATCAGTTAATGATAAATTATGATTGAAGACCGGAAATTTTTATGGTCTAGTACACATATATTCCTCCATCATTTATGAATTAGTGGTAAATCAAAAGTGATGGGTTTAGTATAAAGAAGCTGTAGTTTCAACAAAAACCAGCTGTACAGTTGCAAGAAAAGACAGAATCTCCATAATATTGCTTTTTAAAATTTAAATATCATAAGGAAAGATTCTGAACTTGTGAAAACTTTCTTTGATTCTGTCTATTTATAAGACTGGAAAACCAACATGTCTTTTAAGTGGTTTCAGAAACTCCGAGGATGAAATGGTAAAATGAAACTCCAAGCAAAAGATATTAATTGTTGGACTTCATTACTAGTAGAAACAGTGTACAAACGTGTTTTAAAATTACAACTAAGTTTGCTTCCACATATCTGTGCAAAAAGGGGATTTTACCACTGCATCAAATAAAAAAAAAGTATCGACAGAGTCGTAGCTAGGGTTTTCAGTGCCGTGGACAACTGGAGATTTTGCGCCCCTTTCTGTATGCCATGAATGGAAAACACTTTATTCTAAAATTTCGTACTACTATCAATTTGGTGCCCCCTGGATGCTGCGCCTGGGGACAGTTGTCCTTCCCTTGCCCCACGCTAGCTACGCCACTGGAAATCGATTTGAGATGTGCTGATATTAAGTTTAAACTTGCATACATACAAACACTGAACAACTGTGAAAGAATCGGTAGGCTCAGCCAACTCATTAAAGTGAATACAAATAGTTATTTCATTTTTAGTTAATAGGAATACTAATAACTCTAATAGCCTTGAATTATTAAAAACAAATAAAACTTCTCTTTTAATTTGATTAATACTAAAGTAAAATTAAATGAGTTTTAATTTATTGTATTTTAAAAATATACATCTTCTGGTAGCAATATATACTAAAATTGCTTTCAAAGGGAGCTAGAGTAAAATGGTCTACAGAATGTTGCAATTTATAAAAGTGTTCTCCACTTGAAAAAAGTTGGATAAATGCTGCCATATGCTATTTCGCTTATCTATCATCTACATTACTCAAAAAATATAATTAATAAGGCAGTTAATTAGATGATTATGGAATCCAAAAGAGATTTTGCACACTAATCATTATGGTTTCCTTTCAAACCACAATCAATTTCCAAACATTTTTTAGGATGGCAAGGTTTCCTGTAAACATGGATTTACACTTTTTTCCCAATGACCAGACATTTTGATAATCATTTACTTGTCTGAAAGGACAGAATCTATGACTCAGTTAGTCGTCTATCTATAAAGGACGACTATGCTCCTTGAGAAAGAGGAAGCTGTGTCCCAGTATTGATGAAGATGGACCAAAGTTTCCAATCCCTCTTTCTCTGCCAGTACCCTCTAGAAAGACTTTGGGATTGACAAATTTTAAGTATCTTCATGCTGCAAGATACACTATACACTTACAAGTATCCGCACCTTCTCCAAAATTCAAACTTGCACTTAAAGTACTTACCACCTCAATGGCCTAATAGCAGCCATCCCATAACCATGTCAAGAGGAATGCTGGATTTGCACTTTCTTGGTGTATACTATTATCTATTAGGCATATAATATAAGGTGATTCTTTTAGATATTTGAGAAGAAGCAATAGGATTAGGAGTCTAAAAAACGGGGTGCGGAGCTTAATTGGGACAAAGCGATTTCTTGTCACGGAATTTTAATTTGGTTGCCAGTAGGTCCCTCAAAGCAGTCCCTAACATTGTCTGGATGTCTGCTCTCAACTACTTAGAGGTGGTTCAGACAATAAGAGAGAATTATGATACCTTAAGTTTGTTTCTGTCGACAGGCAAAGTTACTTTCGCATGTTTGAAATACGCTTTGCATTCGTTCATTTTAGTGCACTAAAATTAAGTATAACTCGTAGATAAAAAGCAAAGATTGTCACTCTTAACATTCTCAAATGACTGTACAAAATATTGCTTCTGTGGCTGCTGTTGAAAAATCAAGTGTTTCTTCTGAGGAGGCACAGTGAAACTGGATCATTTTCTCTAAAAAAGAAAGTCAAACACAAAAGGAAAGCAACTTCAAAATTTGATTGATTTCTATTTTTAAATAGCAATTAATCTAACAAAAGTCAGCAAATTTCTATTCTGAAATAGCATTAATCTAACAAAAGTCTGCAAAGCCCTCAAAGAAGTCTCTTGGTATTGATATTTTCATATTAATCTATGGTGTAAACTTCCCACTGCTAGTCACAGAAGGCGAGAAAGTAAGTTAAAAAACAACTTTTCATACATGAAATGAAGCAAAAATTATTATTGTGGGCCAAAAAATACAAATTTTAGACCATAAATTAGAATAAGGTCATTCAAAAACAAATGCCTTAATGTTTTTTCACCACAGATATCACGGGAAATCTAATTCATGGTATGAAGAATTCATCGAAGTATATAGAAATTTTGAAATGTAAAATTGTGCCATTCTTCAGTACTTTTGTGGAGACATTTCAACATGACTTGGCTCGATGCCACAATTCAAAATTTATCAGAAGGTTCATGTCGAACAATAAAATTGTGCTAGATTGACATGGAAATTCACCAGATTTAAATCTAATCGAAAACTTGCGACAAATTCTCAAGGGATATCTTATCAAAATGAATTGTACGACAAAAGAGTGCATGATTAAGAATGCTATAAAAGTGTGGTTCCATGATAAAGAAGTAAAAAATATATACAGTATACCAGCGGTCTGTGAAAACGTTTTGATGGTCGGTAGAAAAATTGGGATTTTTTTAATATTTTTATGAAGATGCAGTTTAAAAATTGATGAGTAACAAAACCTATTATGGCTATACTTTTTTGATTTTAGCTACTACTTTTAGCAAAATTCCTTCTGAATTTAGCTACTTTTTTGAAATTTTGACATTTGAAAGTGAGAGTTGGCATACATGGATATGCTGCTATTATCAATAATAGCATGAACTGCTCTTTTCTTTTGAATTACAAACATATGCTATTGTAGTCGTTAATAACACAGTTTTTCTTTGTGTCAATAGGCAGCTTGACAGATTTTTTATGAGAACCATCTGCATTCTTGTTTATAATTGCATCACTTTTCCGTTTTTTGTTTTGTCTATTGATGATGCAACATTGAGTAAGCAATGATTATTAATGTTACATAATTAAAAATTGTGGCATACCTTTTAGTTTGTTGATATTGCTTTGCGTTTGCTGTTTGTTCTTGCTTTTCATGAAGTTCCTTTTCAGTGATAGGAAAATGTGAACTTCTGTACAAGAAGGTAATATTGTATTTTTTCAATGGAACAAATATGTGTATCAGTGTGATATTATATTGTTTTAATGTTACTCATATCAGGCATAGTCCTGAATTCCATAAAGGCTGCTTGCGAACGCCAATGTTTCGAAATTATATTTAACAAACAAAATTAGAATTACATGTATTGGAAAGTTGAATATTGTTTTTGTGTATTAATATGTTGTTTTTAAGATTTGATTTAAGGGTTTCTTTAATTCATATTAGTGCTCTTCCAAATATGAAATTATATATGTAGTGGTTCGTGAATTTCTAAGGGTTGATGATGCTGCACTAGACTAATAGAGTCAATGCTTAAGTGTGTTGTAAAGGTCATTTCTGCTAGAGGAGGCAGACATAGTTCTTGTCAATTTGATTATTATCTCAGTGTATGAAGGTATGTATATAAATTATCTAAATATCGCTTTGCCCCAATCAATTTGCACACTAGTAATATTACATTGGATAGTGCATAGGGTTAGCATTAGGCATTTTGCCACCACCCTCGAGTTATGCAGGTCCAAAATCTGCTATCCAGTGCCTCCCTAAATTCTAAATATTTTATTGCTTCCAAATTCCAAAATTTTGCTGCTCAGTGCTTAATCACACTTAGATAGATCAAATATCTATCTTCAATAGGCAAAAATTTATGTGAGCACTAATGTAATTAATGTCAAAATTCATTTTTGAAGCGCAATTCATCAAACTTTATTATCGCTTATCAACAAACCTTGCAATATAATGATATAGTAAAAGGGAAAAAGAAGAGGAAGCGGATACAAATTATATATAAATTTATCTCAAGGAACTATAAGACTGTTAATTAACTGTTAGCCTACATTATTATAGCTATTATACTACTATAATATATCTAATAGATATAAATTAAATATCTACATATATTTATACTTATATGTTATATACTGTGTTATATTTCCTATGTCTATATTAATATTACTTTAAATAAACCGAGTGTAGTGGGACTATACCTACATTACTTATAGTAAACATTGGGTGTCCCACTACATTTCCACCTGAATCTGAACCTGCTCAGTGCTTTTCTAAATTCTAATTTTTTTGCCATCCCTAAAGATCACTGCTGTCTATACTGCATTATAGTCCCTGGACAAACCAGTGTTTGGAGCTCCTAACAGAACCCACTCATAAAAATTAAATATAAATGGATTAGCATGAGGCCCCTATGTTTGCGGGACCATTGCCAAGTGCTTCGGAATGGCCCTGACCAGGTTTTGGCACCAGAACTGAAATTGGAAGTTATTCAGCAGTAAGGGATCTTGTTGTAGTACAACTGCATGATACCTTTGGAGGATGTGAACTCCAGTTTGAAAAGACAGTGGACATTCAAATACTCTTTTTTAAAATTATTGTCATAAAGTATGGCTGTATATTTTGTCATATGTATATCAAATATTGAAAAAAAAATTTTTTTGGTTAATCTTTGGATTATGGTAACTTGGGGATTTTTCTGGCGAAAATTTGGCGACCAACCCTGCTACAGCAACCTGCTAGTTTGTTTGGACGCCATTTTGTTTACACAAAGTAAAGGCATTTTTTTTTCAACAATCTGCTAGCCGAATTATGCTTATGCTAGAACTTTTATGGAACAAAGTGCTTAATCTGACGAAGATTAGGTGCGAAATTGGAGAAATGCAGAACGCAAACTGCTTGCCGCGTTTTTAAGATGCACAGAACGATCCATGTACACATCGACCTATTCATTAAAAAAAGCCCAGAATTGCACAAATGGCATGCGCACTCTTGACTTTATCCATGTACACTGCTAAAGTCCTAGCTAATAAACTTTATCGCCTCACCAAAATGTCGCCAAACTGCCTGTTACCATATTCCAAAGATTAGCCAATTTTTTTTTTTTTTGGGTGGGAGGGGGTAATATCAGTTTTAACTTTTTCTTAAAATAAACAAAAATAAAAAAAATTATCGTTTTTCAGAATGCTCCATGTGATTTAATTTCTCATTACATGTGCTTTAATTTTATTGAAAATTAGATTACAAACAGAACTTAGTATTAATTTGTGAATTGAATGATGTATTAATTTTTAATAATTATTTCTTTTGCACATACCTAAATTTTGGATAAACTTTTCGGTTTAATCCTATTATCCGGTGCACACGGGATTTGGCTACTTTTGGCGACTTTATGATGAGCATTAAACGGGATATCGATGAGTAGTTACGGGTCATTCAAGAAATATACAGTTAACATATACTTATATATAGTATATCTAGTGTTTGTACCTATCATTGTGTATAGTATATATATATAGACGTTCTTTGGATCATTTTTGGTGTTCGCGATAATTTTCAAAGTCGCGCCAAGGCTGCACCGTATACTAGGATTTCACCATTCCTTTACAATTTAATACACTTTAATTGGGTTTTGATCAGTTTTATGAATTCGATTCTAAAATGCACATATATACTAATCACATGCTTATGACAGCACATTCAAGAGAAAATCAGTACCAAAATAAAGCAAATACACGTATAAAATATTACCAATAGTACTTTTCAGCCCTGAGAAAGGCTTTTTTAAAAGGTTAACAGTAGACAAGCACTATTGTTTACACGTAAACGGATGTCTTGTTTTGCACCCGTTAAAGCTTTCTGCTCGAAAAGCGAAAAACTGCAGAAAGCTGTTATCATATCCATAGGTTCAAAATTGAGAAGTTTGATTGGAATTTTTCAATGAGTAATAGTCTGTGGGATGTTTTCCCACATTACAGGTAGCTAGCTATATTATAGCTTTGCTATGATTCAATTACCTTATTCAATCATTTAGATTTGGATGGATCTTAAATGATGCGCTGCAGAAGAATGTTCATGAATAGTCTGACCCTCAGTCAATTGTTTCCTTTTCATATTGAAGATATTAGTTTCTTGAAAGGTAACTGCCTCAAATTTTCTTTCTTTCAGGAGACTTTTTATTCGTAAATTATCCATAGACTAATTCTAAATCTGGCAGCAATGTCGATTTGTTTTGGTTTGAACATGTGTGTCTTTTGTTGTAAGGTGATAGCATCATCTTCTTAAATTTCATATCCTTTATAAATATCTTTCGTCAAAGGTACCAGTGAAAATGAAGAAATTACATCCAATTTTGACTTTACGTAATTTACTTCGTACTTATCCAAAACAGCGTTATTGTACATATGCAAAGATTTTAAAATGTTATTATTTTCCTAATTGTTCAACCACTGCTGCTTTTTCGACTCGTTCGTTTTCCACTTTACTGCCACTTGAAAATAATGGAGAAAATGGTAAATTTTTTAATATAAGTTTTTATGTCATTTCTTGAATAAATAATATTATTTCAGTTTTAAAATGCACTGTTCGAATCACGTAAACTGAAGAACCGATATATATATATCGACGAGACCTCAAGTCAGAGGTTGAATTAACATTAAGGAAAATAAGCACGTGCTTAGGGTATGAAGAAAAGCGGGCACCATGAAAAACTTCCATTGCCGGTTTTACCACAGAATGGTGCAGTTAAAGAGGTCCCTTGTGCTGTTAAACCAAGACCAAAAGAAGGGGGAGGAGTAGGTGTAAATGTATGGGGGGCTGAGGGCACCAAAATCTTAAGAGTTCTTACCATTGTGTATTCTTAGTCCATCAAAGTCAAATCTTAAGTCCGTCTTAATCCAGGCCTGCTTGTAATACAAATAATACTTTCATATAAATGAACCGTATCTTACCTAATAAATCAGCTAAGCATAGATGCTGCTGTTGAATAGTAACCATGTAGCTAAATACGAGAAACATCAGAAGTTCGACCTTGAACTTATTATCAATGTGACTTCTTTCTTACAATGTAAAGGAGGGCACACGTAAATCGAAGAAATGAAATATCAGAAAGAAAAAATATATTAATTGCTACAGTAATACAGAATACACAATGGTATGATAAGTGCATAATACAAAAAATTATAACATTTTATATAGTAATTATGCTTATGTTTCTAATAATTAATATTTAAATGAGTACTGAATAAATATGTATACATATAATAAAATACGATGGCTGTTTTAAGAACTGATTGGGGACCTCAAAATTCACTACTCTAAATTTGGTGTTCTCTCCCCTAAATTCATCTGTTCTCCCAAATTCGAGACCTTTCCATGTTACATAACAACCTAAAATTAACCAATAGTATCTTAGGTATACTTATGCATCTACTCGGTATAAATACTCCTTTGCAAACCAACTACATCATTCTTTTCATAGGTTTTGCCATTGCCAACAGTTCTGTGCCTCTATACGTTCCTGTCGAATTAAAAAAAAAACTTTGAACATCAACTTTTAGAACTTTATTGAAATTAATTATTGCATTCTATGAACTGAACACTTTAACACTGAATAATGAAATGCTATGTTCAAGTTAAAAACAATGCGATAAAGGAAAAAGTGATACAGTACAAAGTCCGTAATCGGGACTTCAGCGATTCCGGATTAGGGGTTTTTCCGAATTATAGATCATGAATTTAAATCTGGTAAGATGGCATGCAGAAACTATACAATTAAAAATATAAATCATAATTTATGAAATAAAGAACAAATATCTAAAGGATATCAAAATTTTTCAAAAAAAAAAAAAAAAAGCTTAATATTTATTTGTTTACTTTATTAAACATTTCTTTCAATGTAAGTTGTTTAAGATGCTTCCACAAAAAGTTCCTTTTTCTTGTGTCATATACAGTCAAAAGTCGTTAATTCGGACACCCATAATCCGGACCTCAAAGCTACAAACTTTCTGTGCATGCGTCGCGTTGACGCTTGCACGTAAGACCTTTACCGCTGCGAATTTGCGTGTGCGCGTGCGCAAAATACGTTTACGAATGCGCATTTAATGTATAACGGACGGGATAAGCTAAGCTAAAATTATCTAATTATCTATTTCAGTTAATGTTGCAGATTGCTTTGTTCCTTAATCTTCGAATTGGATCCGGATTATTATTTTTTGCAGACTGTTAGAGCAATTTTATAAAAGTAAGCTTGAACTTTCGATTTTGTCAAATAGAATTGCCGATATATATTTACTAATATGTAAAGGATATACAAAGCGAAAGTATCTTTCGGAATCCATTAAACAAAAAGTGGAATTGCTGCCAAAAATGGATAAAGGCATATCCTTTGCTTATTTAAACTTTAACGTTTGTTTATCTACACTTTAACGTTTGTTATCTAAACTTTGTTTTATCTTTAACGCCGCAGCGGCCGGCAATGAATTGGAAGTTGATCTGTCAGCACTATCCTTATCTTAAGGGCAGATGTTTTTATTTTATTTGGCTTATAATTGCTTACTCAATGTAGTATTTCATCTCAATGTACTCCGTCTTTGATATGATTTAAATCAAATGCCTCGTCATTTGTAATTCGCTTCCGATAGCGAAGAAAGTGACAGAGAAGTTAGTTGAAAACGAAAAAATTTTTGATTGACAAGTTAGTCCGGTAATTCTCGACACAAGCAATTATAGGACTTGAACAACGGAACTGTAACTGAACAAGAAATTATGTCTGTTTATAGAATTAAAGAGAATGTAAACAACTAAAAAACGAAGCAACTTGAAACAACTTACATGTTTAAATAAAGTTTAATAAAGTAAACATAATAATATTAAGCTTTTTTTTTTTTTGCAAAATTTGATACCATTTAGATCATAATTATGCTTCATTATTTCATAAATTAACGGTTTCATATTTTTAATTTTATAATTTCTGCATGCCATTTTACCAGATTTAAACTAATGATCTATAATCCGGAAAAATCGATAACCCGGAATCGCCGAAGTCCCGACGAGTCCGGATTAACGACTTTTGACTGTATAGTGGACTTTCCAATGCCATACTTCTCACATAATTTTGAGACGGATTGGCCTTTATCCATTTTTTGCAGCAATTCCCCTTTTTGTTTAATGGACATCAAACATGCTTTAGCTTTGTAGATCCTTTGGCAGCTCAAGCTTAATTTTTATAAAATTGGGCTAATCTTTGGAATATGGTAACAGGTAGTTTGGCGACATTTTGGTAAGGCGATAAAGGTTACTAGCTAGGACTTTAGCAGTGTACATGGATAAAGTCAAGAGTGTGCGCAATGCCATTTTTGTGCAATTCTGGGATTTTTTTTATGTGAAAGTAGGTCGACGTGCACATGGATACCGTGTATGTGCAATTCTTAAAAACGCGGCAAGCAGTTTGCGATTCTGCCACTTTCTCCCAATTTCGCACCTAATCTTCGTCATGATTAAGTACTTTTGTTCCATAAAAGTTCTAGCATAAGCGTAATTCGGCTAGCAGATTGTTGGAAAAAAATGTTGAGTAAAAAAAGAAAAAAAAACATGCCTTTATTTCGTGAAAACAAAATGGCGTCCAAACAAAAACTAGCAGTTACTATAGCAGGTTTCGCCAAATTTCACAAAAAAAGGCCAAGTTACATACTCCAAAGATTAACCTAAAATTGTTCTAACAGTCTGCAAAAAGTAATAAGCCACATCCAATTAGAAGATTAAAGAACAGCACAATCTGCAACATTAACTGAAATGCCTTAAATAATTTTAGCGTAGCTTATGCACATAAAGTTTGTAGCCATGAGGTCCAGATTATAGATCATTCCGGATTATGGACGTCCGGATTACAGACTTTGTACTGTAATGAAATTTGGGTATTCCCAGTAACCACCAGAATACAAAGTAAACAATCCATGAAGTTGAAGCATCTTAGGTATACTTATGCATCTACTCGGTATAAATACTGCTTTGCAAAGCAACTACATCGTTCTTTTCATAGATTTTGCCACTGCCAACAGTTCTGTGCCACTATTTGATCCTGTCGAATTTAAAAAAAAAAAAAAAAAAAGGTTCTTTTACATATGGTACTGGAGTTTGGCACATTTTGGAGGCGATAAAGGTTACTACCTGGGACTTTGGTATATGTGAGCAGTACTCAGTTCGATTACGCATATTTTGTGTGAGGGAAATGAAGAGATCATGGGCTATGTCATGTGATATTAAGGGACGCATTACGGTTCTTAATCGAAAAGGGGGAAATCGGGAACAAATCTGGAATTTGTATTTGGTTATTCGTGTTGTGTGAAACAGTGTTCGAGAATTTTTGGATCCCATGGCCGTAACTAAAGAAAAGTTTCGGACACGTAATCAAATTCTGAAGAAGATTAGGTAAGTTATTTTTTAATTATTTGAGGATAGTTATTTTTATGCATTGTTCTAATCAGGGGAAAGCCTTTTGTCTTTGGGAAAATGTGGTGTTACAAGCTTTCGTTTTAAAGTAATTAGGATTGTAGGTAATTTTATTAATTTAATGTATGTGCTCATTTATATTTAAGTAGTGTTTTTGCCTTTTAATTTAATGAAATGATTTATTTGTGAATTTAGTTTGTAGGAATTGGTTATACGTTTAAGTTGAAATAACGTGCATGAACTTTAAATTTGATATTAAGTATTTGTAATGCTGCGGTATGAATTCGTTGGTGACGTGTAGATGTAATAGATGATTAGAGTAAAAGTTTTTGGATATTTTACTTATTTTATGTGGACGTTCATATTGTAAAGGGTAATACTTTTTCGCAGATCAGGTAATTTCATATATGTTCTTTTTACCAGGTTTAAAGATTGAGAAAATTGTCATGTATTTTCGTGAAATTTCTAATTTATGAGAAAAAGCAGTGTACATGGATATAGTGAAGAGTGCGCAATGCCATTTTTGGCAATTCTGGGATGTTTTTTTAAGTAAAAATAAGTCGCCGTGTACATGGTTTATGTGTATGTGTTATTTTGAAAACGCGTAAGGAGTATGGTTGTGCACTTTTTCCCAATTTTGCAGTGAAATTTGTCATGATTAAGCAGTTTTTTGATAAAATTGTAGCATAAGTGTAATTCGGCTACAGATGTTGGAAGAAGTGTTCAGTAGATAAAAGAAAAGAACAATGTCTTTACTTCATGAAGAAAAATGGCGGCGGGGAAAAAAATAGAGGTTGCTGTAGGAGAGTTGGTCGCCAAATTTTCGCCAAAAAAACGCCAAGTTACCATAATGTAAAGATCAACCAAAAAAAACTTTGAACATCAACTTTTAGAACTTTATTGAAATTAATTATTGCATCCTACAAACTGAACACTTTAACACTGAATAATGAAATGCTATGTTCAAGTTGAATCACAATGAGATAAAGGAAAAAGGGATAATAAAATTCGGGTATTCCCTGTAACCACTGGAATACAAAGTAAACAATCCATGAAGCCGTAG